TTAAGATAAATTTTAAATAAATAAGCTCTGAAAAGTTTTTTATTTAAGCAACGAAAAGATATCCTTCTTAACGTTTACAATGTATGAATTTTTGTAACCTGTAGTGGTTTCTAACGCACTGTTAGAATCTCGTTCACATGTTTCAAAACTAGCTCGGAAATGCAGCCCTGAATTGCCCGCCATCGACAGTATATCAAAAAGTAGTTTCAACGATAAATGGGAATATTTATTAACAGAAATTTTTTCGTTTTCCTTTGACACGAATACTTGAGTGCACTCCAAGAACCAAAAATTGTTTCACAAATAAAGTCATAAAGTACTTCGTTTATCTTTCACGGGCCTGCTTTAATCGTTCTGTAAATCTTTGCGTATTAATTTTCATTTTATAACATGTTTTAACGAAAAGACTGTGGCGAGTTAATTGTGTTGCGTAAGTGTCCTCAAAAACGTCCTGAAATATTTGGTCTTTTGTATCAACGTCTGGAGGGAAAATATCTCCCAAGTGTCAACATCGATCAGGAACAAATAACAGGTGCTTGTGCTTGTGGCCTCTGGCTTTCAAAAGTTATGTACCATTTTCATAAAGTATGGACCATTAAAGTAATGGGATGAACCAGAAGAAAAGAAATGTGGATTTTTTTTTTTGTATTTTTTGTAAGCGCTGTAAGTTTCGATAGTTTGAATCAAATCTTCAGTTACCGTAGCCTGCAGACTAGTGCCTGGCGAGTGAGTGCTCAGTATTTCCTTGGTTAAAATTATATCCAACATCTTTGATTTTTTACAGCAGCGGAATGTTGGGGAGGGAAAGAAATTTGTACCAAGGGGGTGAGCGATAGGCAAAAGTAAGGAGAGGGGACGGGTGGCACCTGCCCCTCCCCACATCTTCCTCTTTACTCTAAATCAAACATGACAGGTCGAATAAACGATCACGAGCTTGTGATGTTAACTCGCCCATGTAAGACGCCTGCATTGCAGGCTACAGTTACCGTATCCTCGCAGTACCTCTCGCTGTAATCAGTAAAACTCGACATTTAGGTTTAGAGCAATTACCTCACTACACTTGCACTGGACATTTATTTGAAGTTGTTTCAATTCACCTTAATCCATTGCTCACCGTCGTCAAATCTATTTGTGAAGTAAGGTATCTCAGGTTCAAAGGTTCAAAGAAAGAGCGCTGAATATGGCAGGAAACGATCCCGAAATACACTCAGCTCAGTTAGCAGATCTGGAGAAACAGATCTGCGGCGTGGTCGTACCATGAAGTCCTTACCGTATCGTTTCGGTAACATGTGACATCGCCCCCATGCACGGTCACCCCAAATTCCCTCGCCCTCGATGAAGTTCCGTCGCCCCGAAATTCAATTGCTTCCCCACCAGATATTGACCTAAGTTGAATAAAGATTTTAAAAGTATTTTGACATAAGTTTTTACAGGATTGCAGTTGAAAATTGGCCAAGTCTTCTGAACGAATATCTCGCACATTTTGAAGTCTGTCACTAGACATTTCAAGAGTGCGAGAGAGCAACGCCTGAGGATCAACAAAGATCGTGGATCAAGTTGGATATGGTTCATTTCATGATCAGTGTTCTGGTTCTCAGCGCGTGCGTCAGGGTATCTTTAAAAATATTTATTTAACAAATATATTCTACGTTGCAGTACGTCTGTTTGGTAATTTGATCACACAGGATACCTGAAACGCTGTTAATCCTTTAACTCACAGATCAAATGGGTAATTCTCCTTACTGTCAACCTCCTACGCCGGTAGAAGCTCTCAACGGTGGTCAATTTACATTATCAACTCAGTTGATACCCCTACCAACGCAACACCGCAGTTCTTTTCAGAAACTTCCACCCATTTCAAAAACCATTTTCATAACTCACCAAATTATAAATACGAAAAGTGACCAGCTTCAACTCTTTTTCCTTATTCAAAAAGGAAAAAAGAGAATGTTAAATTCGCTTTATTTTAACTCTCCTTGCTGAGAGTTAAGATTGAAAGGACCTAATACCAAAAAAAGCTGCAAACCATCCTTTACACAAGTATTAAACAGAGTGCATTGCGGACCATTTCAAGCAAACGTTTGTATGAAAAGCCTCACCGAGGAGACTGTTTCCCAGAATGATTATTTGGTATACGAGTTTGAAATCGACGCTGAACCAACTGGCTCTGACGTGACATATAAATATGATCACTTTTATACCATCAAGTGTTTGTACAACAAAGAGAAAACTGGGATTCAGGCCAGTTTCCTGCCCCTGCATTTACAGACAGCTTCTGATGAAGGTAAAAGAAACGTGAACTGACGGAAGCTTTTTTCCAGAGAAACGGTTGGCATTGGGTTCCCTGTTGCCAATGTTAGTTTAGGTTTGGCTCAGCTTAAAGTGCGTATATCTATCAATGGATGTATGCTGTGGTAAGGATTAGAGTTAGCTTTAGGGCCTGGTGATCAGTTGCCCTAACTCGTCTGTAATTTCTCCTACAGCAGCCTTTTGCGGTCTTCGGCAGAAAAGGCTGGTTTACTCTGCTTCAATTCTACAGCTTTCTAGCATAAATCGAATAGTTTCTTAGAATAACTTCAACTCGCCCATATCGACGTCAAGTGACTTTTCAAGTTTTGACTTGGATATCCGCCGCTGTTCTGTGTGAAACAAGCAGTTAAAGAACAAGAGGTTTTTAGTCCATTTTACAGTTGCATGCTTGGTTGCCAAGCCTTTACACAGAAGTGAGGCTAAGGTTGACCTTGTTATGATACAAACCTTGCTGCTTTTCAAATGCCAATGACTTTGTTATTATGCTAACTAGATACTGGTCTCTATCACAACGAGGTCATCTTCAGCCTCTCTCCAAATCAAAGGCTTGGCAACTAGGTACACAGCTGTAAAATGGCCTATACGTTGGATAAAAATCCGTTTCAGACGTTAGAAAAGGTAGTTTGAGAAGGCGTCTATAATACAATAATATGCCCATATGAATAAAGAATTAAACGTTATAAAAGTTAAAATTTCAAAACTTAACGCGACTTTGCTGCTGAATCTCTTGGTGGTCTCTTTGATAGAAGACGTAACTAAGGTAGTAGGTCAGCGTAACGTTCTTTAACACCGTAATTTTTTTTTCAGCCACTGGCATGTTGCTTTTTACCTTCACAATGTATTATTCTACAAACGGCCTACCAGTTGACCAAAACACAGCCATTACCTTCAGGGAAAAGCTCTATGGACGGTTGACTGTGTCAGAGAGCGGTTTTCCCTCCAAGCAGTTTGACGTTCATTTTAAAGAGGTCAGGACGGACATTAACAGTCAGACCGGAGGCAACACTGCCGTCCTCGTCATCTCAAACGGGTAAAGGAATTGAATACTTTTTTCACTATTTGGCGATCAGTTGTAATGGTGATTGGACCGCGTGAATTCTAATTCGGTTTGTAATCATATGTATGTACTTACTGACTGAGTAGGAGAGCCGGACTGGAAAATATTAAGCTCTAGGTCAGGACATGTCACTTCTTGCCATGAAAATCGGGATCAGCGCTTGAAGTAAGATAGGGCATTAGGCTCCTGAGATGAACTACAATTTTAAATTCAAATTGAAGATACCTCATGAGAGGTGTTTTTTTTTTGTACTTAGCTGTCAGGTAGGGGATGTGGTGAGAAACCCTGAATGTGCAAATAGTGAAACGGATGAATTCTATTTCGAGGCTTACCGATTTGCCAGTCAAGATTCTGGTCAGGTTTATTTTCACGTCACGGCTCAGGTTTGCGTGGAGGAAGCGGGAACCACAAGTACCTGTGAGCAGCAGTGCGCTCTATGTGCAGGTGATTCAAGGAGGAGACGTCAGACCATTGAGCATAGCGTGGCAGCGGAATACTATATAAGGACTGGTCCATTCATATTTGCAGACCTCAAAAATGACGAAAACGGTTTGTATATCTGTTAAGTTATTTTTGATAATCACTTCTTTTAACTGCATGCAAGCTAAGTTTCTAATAATCCGTTGCTCCCCATGAAATTTTGAGTCCATCAGAAATTTTATTGCCATAACATAAGATAGAACCAAAGCCCAAAGTTTTCCCCCTTGAAACAATCTTTCAGTCATTTTTCATCACAGCTCGAGTTACAATCCAAATGCAGAGTTCTATTGTACTCCCCAGTGTAACCTTTCCAGTAAAACCAAGAAGAAAACTGATTTGATTTTCACCGTTTTCTGTGGTCCTGGCCTCAATCCTCCTCAGAAAGGATGAGGAGTGCGGGCTCATTTCCCGAACAGCGGCTTGTCTTTCAGCCTAATACACAGGTGAATGCAGTTTTTCATGACTGCAACTTCAACTTAAACCTAATTTTTACATCATCTTCTATCATGTTGTATTATCAGCTGCAGACACCATAGTTAATGAAGGCAGAGACTCGTCTGTCCCTGTCCACGCTGTCGCAGTCGGAGTGGTTGGTGGAGTCGTGGCTATCGCCATTGTTTGCGTGGCTGCGCAAGCGTCGCCATAACGTAACATAAGCCGAGCCACATGTCATCTATGAAGCCGTGCAGTTGTGAAGGCTATTTTTCGACCACAACTAGGCGGGTTACCTCACCGACCTGTAGTCTCCCACCTCCATGTAAACAGGCCCTCACTCTGCTTAAACATCACTTGACCAGATAAAACTTGCTACATGCCAAGATCACTAAGGTTTAAAGGGTTTTTCTACCTTGATGGCGGTGTAAATTTTCCCCTACGGTCTAAATGATACTCTGTAGTGTTCATTACTGCGAAGATCGCCACCATACTCATTTCCTAGACCGCAGTTCACATATATGATTTTCATATAAACAGTCATTAATTCAAGAAATTTGCATAAATTGAAGTTTTCTATGAAATCGTTGACTTTTTCGTGCTTGATATGTATCTAAAGCTATATGTTGCTCAAAATACCAAAAGTTGCTCAATTTGCAAAGCTCGTTCCCAGTGTCGTCTCTTCCTCCTTTTTGGAAACGATAGAGACAAACCCGGGAACGAGGCTGCGTCTGTAAGATGGCGTCCTTCGTAGGTTGACTGTCGTAACGCTGTGTGGAAGCAAATTACTGTGGAACACATATTAACATCGAAGGTAAGGGTAGAAATGTTACATTTAGCCCATTACTCCGCGGTGGTAGTAATGGTTTAGTATGTACTTTATTTTCAGACGTTTTGGTGTGTAGTATCACGAACTATTTTTACTTACGAGTAGTGCCAGAACAACTCGTAAAAATACTCAGTTACACAACCCACCGAAAGCGTCCCATAAGTTATTTATTACCCAACTGCTTATGTTATATTTCGAGGGCCACCAGTACCTCGGTTAACGTACGTTGGCGATGAAGTAATTTAAAAACCTATACTTTATTAAACCACGATAATAGGGTCTTTAGAGCGATTGATCTTTTGTCACTGTCTGTGCTCCATGAGTCTGGATTTGGCCAGAAGAATATGTTTCACCATCTGTTAATCGAATTCGAAATAATTATTTCTGGTTTTTGTAGTCCTGTTTAAAAGCGTGAAAGAGAGTTGTCTTAGTTTGTTTTCTCGTGTTGATTCATATATACCCGGTAAAAGAGAATTTAATTTCCCAGTCTTCAAAATACATCGGAGAAGTGGTTCTCCAATGTGGTTTTCAATGATTCTCAAAAAAAGGAATGATTCTTGCAGGTGAGCTGCAATGTAAGCAATTGCAGAAGGGAAGCCTGGAAAGAAAAAATTAGGTTTGGATGGGATTCAAACCCATGCCCCCCAGATACTTCATAGGTACTACAAAGGTACCATTAATTTTGTGAACTTGTGAGACTTACAGTAACTGTAAGTCTTACTCCTTTTGAGACTGCTGTCCCTTTGTCACCCAAAGCCATACGAAGTGTAAATGTAGATACATTTAAGTAGTTTGGTCTACAGATATTTTGGAAAAAAACATATGAATGTATTTTAACCCTTTAACTCCCAAGATCTTATTTGCTAATTCTCCACTCTAAATGCTACACATTTCCTTGTAAATTAGTTATAAGAACATGGTGCTAGATCAAGATAGCAGCTTCTACCTGATAAGTTTGAATATTCTCATTACCTGTTTGCTGAATAATGTATGAATATTGTAGGGAGAAGTTTCGTGTTGATCACTTCTGGGAGTTAAAGGGTTAAGAGTGGTGACTTACATGTATATGCAAACTCATACCCCACTTTGGTACAAGGGAGGGGAGGGTTGTGATTAGATACCCCCCTTCCCCAGCATTATGTTACAATATTTTGAAAGGCTTTTACCTGAATTAGATAGACTGTATGATGTGAATATTATGGGATAGATATACAAATGGTTCTACTGGGGAACCAGTGATGTCATTCCACATGGCAGCCTTTTTTCTTTTTTTAGATTTTTCACTTTTTCCACTATTATTTTTGGCTTATCAAAAGAACAGTAGCAATCAAACCTAACAGGAAAGTAGAAATGACACTCAGAAATTGACTAATAGATTTACTGTACTTTCATTTCTAACGTTAAAGCTTTCATTCTTTCATAGCTCTTATCAAGCCCTCAACCACACCTTACTCATCATTTAATATCTCCAATATCTATCAGGCAAATTTGACCAACATCAAAACAAATATGTCTTCAAGAGAAACAAACAGCTACTTAAGTGGACAGTTGCCCAGCTAAAAGCCTCTTGATAAAATTTTTAAAAAAATCTAAAGGGCATGTGGCATTCACCCCTCCCCCTCTCCCCCCCTCCACCCTCTTGATGGTAGAGGGGGGAGGGGGAAGGGGAAGGGAAGGTAAAACCAACTTATATCCCCCTCCAGTTGAATTGATGTGTTTCTTTTCTTTTAGCATTTTAGATTACTTTGCTGTCTCTCAGTTGGCACTAACATGGCAAAAACAAAAACATCCTGTACTGAGAAGGTACAAATAAAGTGGAAAATCAAATCAACGTGTAAAGAATCTGCAAAATTTAAGAGCTGTGTGCAAAAGACATTGAAATGCAAATTTTGTGAAAAGCATTTCACATCTAAGGGAAAGTTACAAGTACATTTAAGAACCCACACTGGAGAGAAACCATACCAGTGCAAAATTTGTGACAAGTGTTTTACTCGAAAAGGAAGTATGCGAAGACATGAAAGATCACACACTGGAGAGAAGCCATACCAGTGTAAGACTTGTGACAAGAGTTTTACAAGAAAAGGAAGCCTGCAAATACATGAAAGATCCCACACCGGGGAGAAGCCATACCAGTGTAAGACTTGTGACAAGAGTTTTACAAGAAAAGGAAGTCTACAAATACATGAAAGTTCCCACACTGGAGAGATGCCATACCAGTGCAAAACTTGTGACAAATGGTTTTCTCAAAAAGGTAATCTTCGAAGACACGAAAGATCCCACACTGGTGAGAAGCCATACCAATGTAAAACATGTGACAAGTGGTTTACACAAAAAGAAACTCTCAAAGCACATATGAGATCTCATACTGGAGAGAAGCCATACCAGTGTAAGATATGTGAAAAGTTTTTTACTACTAGAAGAAGTTTGCGAATGCATGAAAGATCACACACTGGAGAGAGGCCATTTAAATGCAAAGTTTGTAATAAGGGTTTTACTTATATTGCAAATGCAAGAGTTCATGAAAGATCCCACACAGGAGAGAAGCCATACCAGTGCAAAACATGTGACAAGTGGTTTACTCAAAAAGGTAATCTACAGATACATGAACGATCCCACACTGGAGAGAAGCCATACCAGTGCAAAACATGTGACAAGCGGTTTGCTCAAAAAGGTAATTTACAAATACATGAAAGATCACACACTGGAAAGAAGTTATTCCAGTGCAAAAGTTGTAACAAGTGTTTTACCACAAAAAGAGGTATGCAAATACATGAAAGATCACACACTGGAGAAAAGCCATACCAGTGCAAAATGTGTGAGAAATGTTTCACTTCAAAAAGAAGTCTGTATATACATGAAAGATCCCACACTGGAGAAAAGCCATACCATTGCAAAACATGTGACAAGTGGTTTACCCAAAATGGTCATCTACAAAGACACGAAAGATCACACACAGGAGAGAAGCCATACCAGTGTAAGACTTGTGACAAGAGTTTTACAAGAAAAGGAAGTCTACAAATACATGAAAGTACCCACACTGGAGAGATGCCATACCAGTGCAAAACTTGTGACAAATGGTTTTCTCAAAAAGGTAATCTTCGAAGACATGAAAGATCCCACACTGGTGAGAAGCCATACCAGTGCAAAATGTGCGAGAAGTGGTTTTCTCTAGAAAGAACACTACAAAAGCACGAAAGATTACACTTTGAACAGCAACCATTATCTTCAGATTACGATGAAACATTTACTTGCTGGATTTGCCAGGAGGAACTGAGCAGTGCTTCCCAGCTTCTTAGCCACTATGAGGAACACATGAAGTTGCCTTGATTTTATTGTTGATCACTTTATCTGATTTGTTTTTGGCTGATTAGAGCACACATTTTTAAGTAGCTTTTGCTCGATCCTTATCACGGCTGTTTTACCGCAGAATCAAGTGAGAAGAAAACTTTGGCTCCCATCTGTTACAATTTTGATCAGGGAACACTTTTTTTAGTTCTGGGGTCTTGGCGATAGGTTACCCAGTAGTGTTAGGTCAAAGTGAAGCAAACAAACCAAAAGACAAAACGCACTAACGATAAATAGAGGGAAACTTTTTAAACCTTTATATGGACCCCTTTGCGTTTGAAAAAATGCTCCAAAGAGAACAGTAAGGAAAGTTTTTTAATCATGATATTATCAAGGTAAAGGTGACCAAATAGGATATACAAGGTTGCGATGTGAATTTTTTCACATTGTTTCAAGTAAATTAGCACATGATCATTATTGTTATTTTCAAGCTGCCTTGAACGACTCACTGTTTCATGTTTAACATCCAAGTTATAAACAAGGCGTTGAATTTTTGACCTGGTCAATAACCGTTTCAACCACAAACATTCCTAATTTTTTGGACATGAAACATGGGATGTGGAGATTAATTTTATGATTTTAACAATAAATGACTTATTATGTTTTAAGTAGATCCTGCACGACGTTTGATTATCATAGTGCCCGGAGCGAAGAGGCGATTCAGCCAAGGAATTACTCAATTGAAACCACCCCCTCCCTCCTCTTTTGCATAACTGTTGACTCAAAATCAATCGGCTCTTAAGAGTCGTAAAAACTGGGATCACATATGTGAATGGATTAAATGTTACACTATTCAATCATAATATTGCTCACTATAAGAGATACAACAACAATTGATTGATTATGTAAGCGTTATATGCCAATCTCGATCCCAGTGTCCTCTCTTAATTCATTGAAAAAAGAAAGATCGAAAGGAACCTGGGAACAAGGCTGATCTTGAAAGATGGTTTCGGTAAGACGGTCCGATAACACGATCTGATAATACTACGGAGTTGTATCGGAGAAAAACATGGTGTCTGTTCTTCGTGTCGTCGAGTTACACCTCGTGGCGTTAATGTTCGTGTCGTCGAGTCATACTTCGTGAAGCTATAGTCTACCCGGTAGGGTTACCGTTTCAGCCGGAGTAAACGTCTAAAGGTGGGGTAACCCGCCTAGCCGGGATCATGCTCATGTTACATTTGCGAACGCGCCAACAACCTCTTCGAACTTTACCCCGGGGTTGTAAGATTGAATGTCAACGCAGGCTATTTTTTGACTACGGATAGGCGGGTTACCTCACCTACCTGCGGTCTCCCACCTTCACGTAAACAGGCCATCACTCAGCTTAAACATTACTTGACCGGAACAAACTTGCTACAGGCCAAGGTCACTAAGGTTCGAAAAGTTTTTATCTTGATGCTGGTGTAAATTTTCCCCTACGGTCTAAATGATACTCGGTAGTGTTCACTATTGCGAAGATCGCTGTCATATTCATTTTTTAAACCGCAGTTCACATGTATGATTTTCACCTATTAACAGTCATTGATTCAAGAAATTTGCATAAATTGAAGTTTTCTATGAAATCATTTTATTTTTTTACGTGCTTGATGTATGCTTTAGATCTACATTTTGCTGAAACGGTTGCTCCAAATGCTGAAAGATCTTGTTCACAATGTCCTCTCTTCCTCTTTCAAGGAAACAAGAGAGAGAAACCCGGGAACGAGGCTGCATCTACAAGATGGCGTCCTCTGTAGGTTGAACTAGCGACTAAATACAGGAATGGCTTGGACCTGTAATTGGATGATAAAAATAGTAAAAGTTAATAAGTTATATCTTAACTCCATACTCGTGAGTATTGTTTACCCGTGTCTCTCGAAGCGGAACAATGAAATATCGATGCGAGTGAAAACACCGATGCATCAAACGAGAAATGGTTACTAACAACGAAGGGAAGGCAGAGCCTTTCTTATCCAATGAGGTAGTTCAGCGATACTCCGGCGATGACAGAGCTATTCGCTGACTAGCTCCACTGACTAAACTCATTTTAGCCAGCTCAGGCGGACGACCAGAGACTGGAGCCATTCCTGTATTTCACCGCTGACAGGAATAGCTCCGACTCATGCGTTCATTATTTTACTTTATTTTATTTTTTATTTATCTTTTTTTTTTCTTTTCTGCCATTCGTTTTGACTGAATGATTTATACACTGAGATAAAAACTGAAAGAGCGTTTTACTACGTTCTTCCTATATTGATATTTTTGTTAACGCAGGGCCATGTACTTTCTCAGTAATATTTATTATATGATCAGTACGACTCCCAGGCGGTTTTATCGAAACAATTACAAGAAAATCCGCGTACGAGGGGCTGCGAGATGCGAAAGTAGAAAAAAAAAAGACGGTGTGACAATCATATAATAAAATTCTCAGTGGTTGATTAAGGTCGCGAACAGATGTTTGACTGGTAGCTTCGTAAAGACAACCCTAGTCGGTTACCCCGCCCAGAAAATAGCTCCATGGATCCTGACTACCAGGAAGCATCAAGTGATACTGCATACCATGACAGCACCAAGGAGATGAACTTTCTGCAAGACTGTCTTAATAAAGGAACTGTGGGCGAAAATGGGGAAAGTATCATGAAGAGGACGAAACGATCCCTTAAAGTCTGTGAAGATGAAGATGCGCTGCAACAGTTGAAGAAAAATGTCAATTCCTCTTGTAGTTTTTTCACTTTGATGGTGCAGCACAAGTATACGACAAGTACACTGTCGGCTGCTATACCTAAAGGGAGTGCATCTGAAACAAAAAATTGAGGTCCAGAAACGTTTCTTTTCCACCAAACGAAGGACACAGAAGAGAAATATCATGTTGGAAAACCCAACCAAGGAAGAGAGGATGGAGATGATTGAGAATTAGAAGAATAATGAGCAATCAGAGCAGAACAACAGCAAAGTACCTGTAGGCTTCATATCCGGCGAAACGATGGCGCACAAGGTATGTTATGCTTCATTGTTTGAAATTTTTTCCTCTTTGCCTATCACACATGTCTCACCTCACCATCTGTTTATTTCTCTTGTGTGATTACAAGAAATGCTTCTCTGGTTTACTAAGGAAAAACATCACTCCATTGAAGACCTGGTTAAATCTGCCATTAAACTGTCTGTTTCTGACGTATTGGATACAGACAGGGCATCTTTGATACCCGGAGAGGCAGTAGAAGCTAACTTAGCAGATTTGAAGAGGTTTATTACAGATGGTGCCTGGAAAGCAGTTTGCAAATTAGGTTAGGATGGCTCGTGTACTTTACAGAAAACGTGGTTTATGTTGTACTAATTCTTTCTTAAATTTCAGTGGTATAAATACCTTGTCTAAAACAATAGTAATACAATAGCAAACGAGATATATACGTTCCAAAACAGCGTCATGTGATGAACAGCCTTCATTAGTTTTGAACAAAAAATCTTAAAATCATTTTACTCTCTTAGGTTATAGCCGAAAAACTGTCCGAAGACTGATTGTGCCATCACTGCGAACAGTCACGGTACCTCGACATGATTCAGTGCGAGAGTTGCTGCCACTGGTTTGACTGATCAGACGTTTTTGTTTGTTTGTTTGGTTTTTTTTTTTCCTTTTCTCAGGTCTAGTAGAGTTGTTAAAAATTATCAAGCAAAATTAAATTAATCCGCGACTTTCATCCTTTAGGTGTTGAGCAAAAATAGAAATGAGGAGCCCGATAAAAGGATTTGTCCTTCATGCGAACAATTATCCCAGAAAATTAGCGTTCCACAAAAGCAGAGCATACTGTAAATTAAAAATATCGGTCGCAGCGCCACGCAACATTGCGTGATCTTCCAAACGTGACATATAGTTGCTGAATTATTTTAAAACTTAGAAACTACATGGCCCTGTATTAATAAAAGAGGGCTTCATTTGCAAGTATTATAAAGTTCAACATAAGAAGAACCTTATAAAACACTCTTTCAGTTTTATTAGTGTATCTCAGTGTGTAAATTATTTAGCCATAACGAAAAAAAAAATTAAAAGCACCAGTCGTAGCCATTCCTGTCAGCGGTGAAATGTGGGAATAGCTCCAGTCTCTGATCGTCCACCTAAACTAAACGAGTTTAGTCAGCGCAGTTGGTAAGCAGATGCTTAAGTCATCGCCGGAGTATCGTTGGACGACCCCGCTGAATGAGAAAGAAAGGCTCTGCCTTCTCTTTGTTATGTTAGTAACCAATTTTTGTTCGACACATCGGTGTTTTCACTCGCATTGTTGATTCATTGTTCTGCTGGGAGGCATAAGGTTATACAATATCCACGAGCAAGAGGTTAAGATATAACTATTAACTTTTACTATTTTTATCATCCAATTACAGGTAGGAGCCATTCCTGTATTTAGTCGCTAGTGTAGGTTGACTCTGGTAACACTGTGTTGAAGCAAATCACTGTGGATTACATATTAACACCGAAGGTAAAGGTGGAAATGTTAAAAGTAAACAAAGGTGATCGGAAGGCGCCTTCTCGATAATTTTCGTTGAAATATCAGGTCATGAAATACACACAGTGTGGACAAGATCAAAATTAAAGGATAAAATTTGGCACTCTGGTCATCACAGACATATCGCGTTGCTTCAAAGGACACACAAACAAGTTAAAATACGTGACATTGTTAATTACAAAACAACATGCATACACTCTGAAAGAATTCTTGCAGTTTCTCCAGAAATTTAGCACACGAAACGCGATGAACTATTCCTCCTTTCTGGGTATTTGTTCTCATCGTTAATGATTTTACGCTCTTATGGGCCACCACGGTTTTGAGCGACAAACTCAACATTTCCCGGCGACCATCAAAATTAACTGAATAAACCCCAGCTAGACGTATTGCGTGACGTGATTGTGCAAGTTTTTCCCTCGTCAAATGACCTGTTTCATTTCAAAAGCTATTAAAACGGACGGAAGAATTTACTGAGATTTTTTTTCTTTTTAATGTTTATATGATTCATGGAAAGGAAAGATTGTAGTGACTGCGGGTATTTCAGCCCTGATTTCTGTCGTGGAATGCCAGGACGACGTATCGAGTCATTTGAAGTAATAACAGCTCTTCAGCGAAATCCTCGAGTACAAGGTAATTTAATTTGTTTCATTCCGGTCATTTTGGCCTCGATATGGAAAAAGTAAAAGAAAGCTTTTCTCCAACGGGAAGTCGAAGGGACCACTCTTGGGGAAAGCGGCACTCAAAAGCCTATACTTTATTTAACCGTGATGCTGGGGCCTTTGGAGCGAGTAAAAGTTTTTTCTTTGTCACAGTCTGTGCTCCATGAGTCTGGGTTTGGCCAGAAGAATATTTTGTACTATTTGTTAATGAAATTCTAAATAATCATCTTCCGGTTTTTGTAATCCTGTTTAAAAGCTTAAAAGAGAGTTATGTTAGTTTGTTGTCTCATGTTGATTCATGTATGCCCAGTAAAAGAGAATTCAATCTCCCAGTTTTCAAAATAGATAGGAGAAGTAGTTTTTCACTTTTTGTCACCAGATGGTTTGATGGTGTTTCTATCATTAATGATCTTATAATGATGTGTACAGTGCATGCTGGTCAAATCTGCTAAGGGTACCAGGCACCTTGGTTGTATTCAGTGGCTCAGGTTTAGGAGTTTTATTCATCTGGGCTCTTCAGATGTATATTAAAGATATCTTGAACAAAGAGGATGTTTTGATAAAACCAGTGTTTCCAAAAGAACATATGGTTTTCAATAATTGTAAAGAAAAGTAATGATGCTCGCAGGTGGCTTGCAATTCAAGCAATTGCAGAAAGGAAGCCTGAAAGAAAAAATGAGGTTTGGATGACATTCAAGCCCATGCCTCTCACATACTAACTAGGTACTACATAGGTACCACTACACCAAATTTTTCTTGAACTTGCCTGGAAAGGTTTGGAGTAACTATAAGTCTTAATTCTTTTGAGGTGGCTGGCCCTTTGTCACCCAAAGCCATGTCAAAGAGTTTCCTTACAAAATAAATGTAGAAACATGTTAGTGATTTGGTGTACAGATATTTTGGTCTACACATATAAATGTATTTTAAGAGAGGTAACATACATGTAGATGCAAACTCGTACCTCGGAGGGGGGGTTGATGGGACACCCTTCCCATCCAGCATTATGTTGCAATGTTTTATATGGTTTTTACCTATGATGTGAATATTATGGGATACATATACAAATGGTGCTGCTGGGGAACCAGTGATGTCATTCAACATGGCAGACCTTTTTTTCAGATTTTACACTTTTTTCACTATTATTTTTGGCATGTCAAAAGAACAGTAGTTATGAAACTTAACAGCCCTCAACCACACATTACTTGTAGTTTAATATGTCCTATATCTGTTAGCCAAATTTGACCAAAATGACAACAAATATGTGTCCAAGAGAAAGAAACAGCTACAAAAGTAGACAGTTGCCCGGATAAAAGCCTCTTGATCCAACCCCCCCCCCCCCAATCTTCTTGGTCTGAGAGTTAATTTATTGCTACTGAATGTAAATGGTACAACTCTGTCTAATCTCCCCCATACTTGAATTAATGTATTTCTTTTCTTCTAGCACTTTAGATTACTTTGCTGTCTCTCAGTTGGTGCTAACGTGGCAAAAACAAAAAAATCCTGTACTGAGAAGGTACAAATAGAGTGGAAAATCAAATCAATGTGTAAAGAATCTGCAAAATTTGAAAGCTGTATGGAAAAGGCATTGAAATGCAAATCTTGTGAAAAGCGTTTTACATCTAAGGGAAATTTAAACGTACATAGAAGAACCCACACTGGAGAGAAACCATACCATTGCAAAACCTGTGATAAGTGGTTTACTCAAAAAGGTAATTTACAAAAACATGAAAGATCCCACACTGGAGTGAAGCCATACCAGTGCAAAACTTGTGACAAGTGGTTTAATCGAAAATATAATTTACAAATACATGAAAGATCACACACTAGAGAGAAGGCATTCCAGTGTAAAACATGTGACAAGTGGTTCCTCCAGAAAATAAATCTACAAGTACATGAAAGATTACATACTGGAGAGAAGCCAAACCAGTGCAAATATTGTGATATGTGTTTTACACATAAGGGAAGTCTTCGAGTCCATGAAAGAAACCACACTGGAGAGAAGCCATACCAGTGCAAAACATGTGATATGTGTTTTTCTTCAAATGGAAGTCTACGAATACATGAAAGATCCCACACTGGAGAGAAGCCATACCAGTGCAAAACATGTGACAAGTGTTTTACTCAGAAAGGTAATCTACAAAGACATGAAAGATCTCACACTGGAGAGAAGCCATACCAGTGCAAAACTTGTGCCAAGTGTTTTACTAGAAAAAGAGGTCTGCAAATACATGAAAGATCCCACACTGAAGAGAAGCCATACCAGTGCAAAACTTGTGCCAAGTGTTTTACTAGAAAAAGAGGTCTACAAAGACATGAAAGATCTCACACTGGAGAGAAGCCATACCAGTGCAAAACTTGTGACAAGTGGTTCACTCAAAAAAGTAGTCTACAAAGACATGAAAGATCTCACACTGGAGAGAAGCCATACCAGTGCAAAGCTTGTGACAAGTGTTTTACTACGAAAAGAAGTCTGCAAATACACAAAAGATTACACACTGGAGAGAAGCCATACAAGTGCAAAACTTGTGACAAGTGTTTTACTCAAAAAGGTAGTCTACAAAGACATGAAAAATCCCACCCTAGAGAGAAACCATACCAGTGCAAAATGTGTGAGAAGTGGTTTTGTCGAAAAAGAACACTACAAAAACACGAAAGATTGCACTTTGCACAGCAGCCATATTCTTCAAATTACGATGAAACATTTACTTGCTGGATTTGCCAGGAGGAACTGAGCAGTGCTTCCCAGCTCCTTAGCCACTATGAGGAACACATGAAGTTGCCTTGATTTTCTTGTTGATCAGCGTATCTGATCAATTTTTGGCTGATTGGAACATACATTTATGTAGCTTTAAGTTGATCGTCAACACTGCTGTTTTAAGGAGACTGAAGTGAGAAAAAAAACTTTGGCTCCCATCCGTTACACTTCTGATTAGGGAACACTTTTTGCAGTTCTTGGTGTCTCTTGGCGAAAGCTTACCCTGTAGTTTTAGGTCAAAGTGAAGCAAACACACTAAAAGCAAAAATAAATTAGGGGGAAATTTTTTTCACCTTCACACGGACCCCTTTGCGATTGAAAAAAATTACCCAAAAACAACAATAAGGAAAGTTTTTTTATCATAATATTATCAAGGCAAAGGTGATCAAATAGGATATACGAGGTTGCGATGTGAATTTATTTCGTTTCAGCTACATTTGCACACGATCATTACTGCTATTTTGAAGCTACTTTGAGCGGCCAATTGTTTCACGGGTTTAACATCCAAGTTTTAAATAAGCCGTTGAATTTTTTACCTGGTCAATAAACGTTTCAACCACAAACATTGCTAATTTTGAGAGCCCTTCCATTATGTATGTGGACATGAAACACGAGATATGAAAATGAGTGTTTATGATTTCAGCACCAAAGGATGGTGTTATGTTTTAGGTAAATCTTGCGCAACATTTGATTATCATGATGCCTAGAGCGTAGAGGCGATTCAATCAGCTAAGGGATTATTCAATTGAAACCATCCCACTCCCCACCCCCCCCCCTGCTTAACTGCTGACTCAAAATCAATAGCGTCTTCAGACTCGCTTAAACTCGAATCAATATAAACGAACGGAGGAAATGTTACAGTTTTTAAATCACAATACTGCTCACTATAAGAGATACAACAATGATAGATTGGTCATGCGTGATGTTATAAGGCATGATGCTCTGCTGTGATTGGTTATTTTTTCAACAGCTCTGATTGGCATTCATATAAGACTTCACCCTGACAACATCAACAGGGATGGTGGAATAGAAATTCCAGAAGCGTGGATGCCCACGATCAAAAAACACAACAACGGGAGATCCGCGCGAAAGCGGACCGCTTGGGGAGCAAATTACTGAGTGAAACAGCAAGGATCGTAATGCGCCAATCAGAGCTGTTGAAAAAACAGCCAATAATAATAATAATAATAAGGACTTTATTTATAGAGGGGGACACGTAACAGCTGAAAAGCTGACAAACCTGTGGCCCTCAATCACAGCAGAGCATCATGCTTTAGAAGATCACGCATGACCAGTCGACCCCATCGCCTGAAGAAGACTAGCAGTGTGCAGTCGAAACGCCGCAATCTACATCACATGTGACTACATCGTGAGACAAACGGAACACTTAGCTTTTATTGTTATTCACTACGATGAATAACTACAGCCTTTTTTACGAAATGATAGATTGATTATGTATACAGCCATTGCCTTCAGGGAAAAGCTCGATGGACGGTTGACGGTGTCTGTAGGCGGTTTTCTGTCCAAGCAGTTTGACGTTCATTATAGAAGGTCAGGACGGACGCCGACAGTCAGGCCGGAGGCAACACTGCCGTCCTTGTCATCTCAAACGGGTTAAGGAATCGAAATTTCTTTTTTTTACTATCTGGCGAACAGTTATAATAGTGGTGGGACTGTGTGGATTCCAATTCGGTTTGTAATCATATGTATGTACTTATCGACTGAAAGATCGAAATATCTAAAATCTACCTTTGAAAAATTAAAAAAGAAACAATGAAAAAAGATCCTGTTAAATACTTAGTATTAGCTGTAAAATTTCAAGACTATGTGGCTGTAAATGACAATCTGAAGCTTTTTAAGCTTTTTCGTTTTAATAACACACGTTTGTTTATCTGGGGATGTCACATGTACATTACGTAACTCTCTTTTTTACCCCTAAAAATTCCCTCATACATTTAGGGCCCGTTTACATGGAGGTGGGGGACCTCTGGTAAGTGAGGTATCCTGCGTAGGTGGGATAGCCCGACTGCCCATATAATGTCTTATTTGATTTCGATCACGATCACATGATTAGTGGGGTAACCCACTTTTGCAGGTTGCCCGTTCTGCCGGATAGGGTGACCCTTTCAGCCGGGGTAAACGTCTAAAGGTGGGGTAACCCGCTTAGCCAGGGTCACGCTCATGTCACATTTGGAAGCGCGCCAACAGCCTCATCAAACTTCACCCCGCGATCCCGGGGTAGTAAGATTGTATGTAAACGCGAGCTATGTTTCGACCGCGGCTAGGCGGGCTACCTCACCTATCTGCAGCCTCCCACTTCCATATAAACAGGCCCTCTCTAAGCTCAAACATTACTTGACTACAGCAAACTTGCTACATGCCAAGATCGTTATGGTTTGAAGGGTTTTGATCTTAATACTGGTGTAAATTTTCCCTTACGTTCTAAATAATTCTCAGTTTTCAGTCGCTAGTTAAAGTAGAGAAGAGTTCTGTTCTTTCTTTTGCCGAGTATCCCTTTTCTATAATTTTATTGGTTTTTAAACTAGCCTTTAATTACGCCGAACCTTTCTTTGGTGAGTACGTCAGCAGTAAAAAGCTCTCATGCTTTTTATCAGTTGCTGTTCCTTTTAATTAAACAAGGTTTTCAGGGTTTAATTTCACGTTACATAACATCTCTTGGCATAGAAAACGTTGGGTATTTTAAAATTATTCTATTACAATTACCACCGTTGTTTGTGCTTCGGGAAGAATTCATTAAATTAGCTGCTGGCCTTAGGGAATTCCACGCCGGAAGTATCTATTCTTGTCAGCAGAATACATCTGTTATATCTATAAGTATGGAGGTAAATAATTATGAAGGTAAATAATTAACTTTCGCAGGCGAATGGATCAGACAAAAAAGGTCTACAAGGCCTGAAACTGAAATTAAAAATCACAGGTTTATTACAAACCAACATAATGAACAGCTTCAGTTGGCTTGTTAGCTCAGTTCGTTGAGCGCTGCACGTTCTGCCGGATAGGGTGACCCTTTCAGCCGGGGTAAACGTCTAAAGGTGGGGCACCGGTATCGCAGAGCTCAAGGATTCAAATCAAGAGAATATTACTGTATTATCTTGGTTGAAATCCCGTACAGGCCTGAACTTAAGTAGTTTTTATTACTGCGAAGATCGCTTTGATATTCATTTCTTAACCCGCAGTACACATATTTGATTTTCACATATTAACCTCAGTCATAATAATAATAATAATAATAATAACGAATTTTTATACAGGATTGAAAAACCCATCAGTGTGTAACACTGTTGTCCTTGGGGTCCTGTCAAAAATAATAAATAAATAAATAAAATAAAATTTAACAAGATATAATCATTGATCTTAAGGTCTAGAAAAGCATACAATAAAATGAAAAAAAAAAAAAAAAAAAAAAAAAATTAAAAATTAAATAAAAATACTCTGAAAAGGATACCTATAACCACGTTTAGATAGAATTTAACTAAAATAATCTCGCAATTTGTTCTTAAATTTCAGTCTCGAATCTAACGACCTTAGTTCAGCAGGCAGGTTGTTGAAAGTCTTTGCTCCTTGGTAATAGAAGCTCTTTTTACCAAATTCTAAACGAACTTTGGGTAATTTCACTGATATACCGTTATTCCTAGTGGCCTTAGAATGAACCAGCCTTTCGAAGTAGTTCTTAAAGGGTGTGCAAACATTATTCAGGAGACAGTCGAAAACAAACAGACAGCTTTTACGCTTGATCAAATTGTTCACGGATGGGGGATTAAAAGAACTATTGCCGATAACTTTAAAGCCTCGTCGTTCGATGTTCTTTATCATTTCCTTTCGGTAATCCGGAAAGCTAAGACCAAGTGTTCCGCAATAGGTAAAGATAGGTGTGATCATAGTGTTATAGATCGATTCTGCACACTTTTGGTCGATCAAAGGACGAATTGATCGCAAGAGATTGATTCTGGTTGCAGCTTTTTTATAGATTCGGTCAAAATGTGATGCGAGGTTTAGTGATGAGTCAAGGTGAACACCTAAGTACTTATAGGTAGAGGTATTATTGATGAGTGACCCATTAGCAGAAAGTTTAAGTTCCTTGTCTTGAAAGTTGATTCTTTTAGCTGTTCCAAATAACATAGACTCCGTCTTGTCCTTTTTTAGGTTAATGATCAGTTCGTTGTCTTTAAACCACTCGCACAGGTTATTCATATCCTCGCTAAGGCTTCTCTGTATAGTATCAATATCTTTAGAAGAGGTATAGATGACTGAATCGTCGGCATAAGTGATAATCTTCGAGTGTTGAAGCGGTTTATGTACATCGTTGAAAAAGATAATGAATAAGATAGGACCCAGGATACTTCCCTGAGGAACACCTGTGAGAATGGGTTGAGGTTCTGATAGCACGCCTTTATATTGGACAACTTGTGATCTGCAGAAAAGGTAATCAGTGAACCATGCGAGTTCTGTTCCACGAACTCCGTAAGTTGAAAGCTTGCTCAGGAGGCCAGAGTGACTGATGGTGTCAAACGCCTTGGATAGATCGATGAAAACACAGCCTGTCAGGTTACCATTCTCACCTTCTCTTCTGATAACATCGGTAAGATGAGTAACGGCCAGTTCAGTAGAGCGCATGCGACGGAAGCCGTACTGAAAATGAGAAAGTAGACCATTCTGTTCAAAATGAGCCATCAGCTGCTTAAATACCACTTTCTCCAGGATCTTTGACATTGAAGGAAGTATTGAAATAGGCCTATAATTGTCGATTTCGGCCATTGAACCAGATTTAAAAAGTGGTACAATTTTAGCCGCTTTCCAGTCAGTAGGTACAGACCCTGTTGCAAGAGACAGGTTAATTATATGCGTGAGAGGCTTGGCTATTATATCAGCAGAGTCCTTTAACATTCCAGAAGGAAAGTTGTCAAGGAAAGTTGTCATCGATTCAAGAATTTGCATGAATTGAAGTTTTCTATGAAATCGTTGAATTTTTCGCGCTTGATATCTGCTTTAAATCTATATTTTGCTCAAAAGGTTATTCCAAATGCCAAAAGTTGTTCAATTTGAAAAGCTCATTCCCAGTGTCATCTCTTTCTATTTTATGGATACAAGAGAGAGAAACCCGGGAACGAGGCTGCATCTACAAGATGGCGTCCTTTGTAGGTTGACTTTGCTAACACTGTGTTGAAGCAAATCACTGTGGAACACATTTTAACATAAGGTAAGAGTAGAAATGTTAAATTTTAGCCCATTACTCTGCGACGGAAGTAATGGTTTGGTATGTATCGTATTATCAGACGTTTTGGTGTGTAGTATCACGAACTATTTTTACTTACGAGTAGTGCCAGAACAACTCGTAAAAATACTCAGTTACACTGCCCACCTAAAGCGTCTAATAAGTTATTCATCATCCAACTGCTTATTTTATATTTCGAGGCCACTGGTATCTCGGTTAAATTACGTTGGCAATGAAGTCATTTAAAAGCCTACACTTTATTTAACCACGATGCTAAAGCCTTTAGACGGAGTCAAAGCTTTTTGTCACATACTCATGAGTCTGGCTTTTTGGCCTGAAGAATATGTTTCACATCTGTGAATCAAATTCTAAATAATTATACTCTGGTTTTTGTAGTTCTGTGTAAAAGCTTAAAAGAGAGTTGTTTTAGTTTGTTGTCTCATGTTGACTCATGTATGCCCAGTAAAAGAGAATTTAATCTCCCAGTCTTCAAAATGGATAGGAGAAGTAGTTTTCCACTGTTGTTTTCAATAATTCTCAAGAAAAGCAATGATGCTTGCAGGTGAGCAGCAATTCAGGCAGTTGTGGAGAGGAAGCCTGAAAAGAAAAATTAGGTTTGGATGCAATTCAAACACATGCCACCCAGATACTACATAGGTACTACATAGGTACAACATAGGTACTACATAGGTACTACATAGGTACTACATAGGTACTACATAGGTACTACATAGGTACTACATAGGTACTACATAGGTACTACATAGGTACTACATAGGTACTACATAGGTACTACATAGGTACTACATAGGTACTACATAGGTACTACATAGGTACTACATAGGTACTATATAGGTACTACATAGCTACTACATAGCTACTACATAGCTACTACATAGCTACTACATGGGACCAACAGACCAAATTTTTCTTGAACTTGCCTGGGAAGGTTTGAAGTAACTGTAAGTCTTAATTCTTTTGAGATGGCTTTCCCTTTGTCACCCAAAGCCATATGAAAGAGTTTCCTTACAAAATAAATGTAGATACATTAAGTAATTTGGTGTACAGATATTTTGGGAGAAAACCATATGAACATATTTTAAGTGAGGTGACAAACATGTACATGCAAACTCATACCCCTACTTTGGTACAAGGAGAAAGAAGGCATACCTCTACTTTGGTACAAGGGAGAGGGGGGTGTGATTGGAACCCCCCCACCCCCCTTCCATAGCTTTATGCTGCAATATTTTGTAAGATTTTTACCTTAAATAGATAGATTGTATGATGTGAATATTATGGGATACATATACAAATAATGCTGCAGGGGAACCAGTGATGTCATTCAACATGGCAGTCATTTTTTTTCATTATTTTTCACTTTTTTCACTATTATTTTTGGCTTGTCAAAAGAACAGTAGCTATCAAACTTAACAGGATAATAGAAAATCAGACTAGAAAATAAATTATAGATTTACTGTACTTTCGTTTTCAACATTAAAGCTTTCATTCTTTCATAGCTCATATCAAGCCCTCAACCACACCCTACTTGTCATTTAACATCTCCAGTATCTATCAGGCAAATTTTACAAACATTAAAGCAAATATAACTTTATGAGAAACAAACAGCTACTGAAGAGGATACCAGTAGTTGCCCAGATAAAAGCCTCTTGATAAAATTAAAGAAAAAACTAAGAGGTAGTGTGGCATCCACCTCTCCCCTCACCCCCTCTTGTTACTACGAGTGTTAATCTGTTCTTACTGAATGTAAAGGGTAAAACCCTGTCTAATATCCCCATACCCAGCTAAATAAATGTATTTTTTTTTCTTCTGGCATTTCAGATAATGTTGCTGTCTCTTAGTTGGCCCTAACATGGCCCAAACCAAAACATCTTGTACTGAGGAGGTACAAATACAGTGGAAAATTGAATCAATGTATAAAGAATCTGCAAAATTTGAAAGCTGTGTGGAAAAGGCATTAAAATGCAAATCTTGTGAAAAGTGTTTTACATCTAAGGGAAATATGCTAGTACATTTAAGAACCCACACTGGGGAGAAACCATACCAGTGCAAAACTTGTGACAAATGGTTTACACAAAAGGGACATCTACAAATACATGAAAGATCCCACACAGGAGAGAAGCCATACCATTGCAAAACTTGTGACAGGCGGTTTGCACAAAAGGGACATCTTCAACTACATGAAAGATCCCACACAGGAGAGAAGCCATACCAGTGCAAAACTTGTGACAAGTGGTTTACTCATAAGGGAAGTCTACAAAAACATAATAGATCCCACACTGGAGAGAAGCCATACCAGTGCAAAACTTGTGACAAGTGGTTTGCTACAAAAGGAAGTCTGCAAATACATAAAAGATCTTACACTGGAGAGAAACCATACCATTGCAAAACCTGTGATAAGTGGTTTACTCAAAAAGGTAATTTACAAACACATGAAAGATCCCACACTGGAGAGAAGCCATACCAGTGCAAAACTTGTGACAAGTGGTTCTCTCATAAAGGAAATCTACAAAGACATGAAAGATCACACACTGGAGAGAAGCCATACCAGTGCAAAACTTGTGGCAATTGGTTTACACAAAAGGTACAACTACAAGTACATGAAAGATCACATACTGGAGAGAAGCCATACCAGTGCAAATATTGTGATATGCGTTTTACACAAAAGGGAAGTCTTCGAGTCCATGAAAGAAACCACATAGGAGAGAAGCCATACCAGTGCAAATCATGTGATATGTGTTTTACTTCAAATGGAGGGCTACGAACTCATGAAAGATCCCACACTGGAGAGAAGCCATACCAGTGCAAAACTTGTGACAAGTGGTTTACTCAAAAATTCAATTTAAAAAGACATGAACTATCCCACACAGGAGAGAAGCCATACCAGTGTAAAACATGTGACAAGTGGTTTACTCAAAAAGGTAATCTGCAAATACATGAAAGATCACACACCGGAGAGAAACCATTCCAGTGCAAAAGTTGTGACAAGTGTTTTACCTCAAAAGGAGGTCTGCAGATACATGAAAGATCCCACACTGGAGAGAAGCCATTCCAGTGCAAATTTTGTGACAAGTGTTTTACTACAAGAAGAAGTCTACAAATACATAAAATTTCCCACACTGGAGAGAAGCCATACAAGTGTAAAACTTGTGACAAGTGGTTTAATCAAAAATGTAATCTACAAACACATGAAAGATCCCACACAGGGGAGAAGCCACACCAGTGCAAAACTTGTGGCAAGTATTTTGCTACAAGAAGAACTCTGCAAATACATACAAGATCACACACTGGAGAAAAGCCTTACAAGTGCAAAACTTGTGACAAGTGTTTTACTGAAAAAGGTAATTTACAAAGACATGAAAGAGCTCACACAGGAGAGAAGCCATACCAGTGCAAAATGTGTGAAAAGCGGTTTTCTCGAAAAAGTACACTACTAAAACACGAAAGATTGCACTTTGAACAGCAGCCATATTCCTCAAATTACGATGAAACATTTACTTGTTGGATTTGCCAGGAGGAACTGAGCAGCGCTTCCCAGCTTCTTAGCCACTATGATGAACACATGAAGTTGCCTTGATTTTATTATTGATCAGTCTATCTGATTTGCTTTTGGCTGATTGCAGCACACATTTTATTTAGCTTTTGCTCAATCCTGATAACCGCTGTTTCATTGCAGAATCAAATGACAAGAAAACTTTGGCTCCCATCTCTCACACTTTTGATCAGAGAACACTCTTTGTGGTTCTGGGGTCTTGGCGATAGGTTACCCATTAGTGTTAGGTCAAAGTGAAGCAAACAAACTAAAAACAAAACGCTCTTACGATAAATTAAGGGAAACTTTTTTAACCTTTATATGGACCTCTTTGGGTTTGAAAAAATGGCCACAAGAAAACAGCAAGGAAAGTTTTTTTAATCCTTATAGCAAAGGTGACCAAATACGATATACAAGGTTGCGTTATGAATTCATTTCGTTTCAAGTAAATTTGCACACGATCATTACTGTTATTTTGAAGCTACTTGAACGTCTAACTGTTTCATGGGTTTAACATCCATCCAAGTTTTAAATAAGCCGTTGAGTTTTTTACTTGGTCAATAAACGTTTCAAGCACAAAAATTTCTAATCTTGAAACACGTAATATGAAAATGAGAGTTCATTTCAGAGATTTATTTCATGATTTTAGCATCAAGGAACGTTATGTTTTAAGTACATCCTGCGCGACGTTTGATTATCATAGTGCCCAGAGTGTAGAGGCGATTCAGCCAAGGGATTACTCAGTTGAAACCATCTCCCCTCTTTCCCCCCCCCTCCCCCGTGCTTAAATACTGACTCAAAATCAATAGCGTCTTCAGATTCGTGAGAACTTGAATCAGTGTAGAGGAGTGGAGGAAATGTTACACTTTTTAATCACTTTGCTGCTCACTCTAAGAGATACAATAATAATATATTCATTATCCAATCTCGATCCCAGTGTCCTCTCTTGATTCATTGGAAAATAAGAAAGATCGAGAGGAACCCGGAAATGAGCCTAATCATCCAAGATGGCTTCGGTAACACGATCCGATAACATGGCCCGATAACACAGCCTTATAATACTATGTGGTCAGATCGGGGACAAAATTGGTATCTGTTGTTCGTGTCGTCGAGTCATATTTCGTGGAGATATAATTTTCATTTCCGAGCCCCACTCGTCATGTCGTCGAAAGAAGGTTCTGTTTCACGTGCTATCTTCGTGGCGTGTCTAATGTCGCTTCTTGAGTCACTCGTGCCGTGGCACTCACTTCTGGTGACCAGCGGTAACCACGTTTTTATTGGTCACATAATGTAACGTCTCTTTCTGTGAAAATCTCCTTCAGCACACTGCCGGAGTTCTCCTTCCACCAACGTGAATTGTTTTTGAAGAACGCTACTTCTGATGTTATTCGAACGTTGGTAAGTGTACTGGTTTCGGTAATGACCGTAACGAAATTGATCGCTTTGTATCGTGTGGATCAACTTCTAACGTTCTGCATTCAATGTCAAATCGTTTGGAAAGGCGGCGTATCCGATAACGTTCTTAACCTCTTGATAGAGGCATGCAGTTATTTGCGTTTAGAAGATAGAAATAAACAAAGTGCTGAATGTTCTCGAACTTTGCCAGTAGTACGTTCTGGCAAAGTAGAAATACAAGGCTTCGTGGTACCACGAGAGAATTTTAACTAAGGTGTGGATTTTTACTTTAAAAAATTGGAGAAATGTTTGGCACAGTCAGGAAAACAATTAGTGGATGAATTCAACTTTTTAACTTACGGAAGGAGGAGCTAAAGAATACTGATATTTCTGACGAGTGTTTGGGTGACTTTGTGAAGATAACCTTGCAAAATTTTCCAAAATGTGGCACTCGCAAAATGAAAGCATTCTTACTTGGAATTCGTTTGACCTGGGAACGTGTTTTACCATCTGTTTTGGTTTCTTGAATACTAAGGGTACGTTGAGATAAGCAATGAATTGCACTTATATTGCCTGCATTATGTATTTTTTGCCTCGAATAAAGTTGTAACTATCCTTGTTTCAAGATAGCTTAAAAACCATCCTCTCAGTTCTGAATCAAACATAACACCTGATCAACTCTGGATGTATGGTGTAAATCAGTATCACTTGGACCAAGTTATCCTGTGAACTTTATTATTATGGTCCTCCACATTGTGAAGAATATAATGGAGGGAAAGGACGAGACAATTAAAGATCCAGAAATGCCCTTGTCTAGAGGGTCTTTCAATCTTTTTCAGCCCCAAGTTATCTCACTAGATCAATTTGATTGTCATGGAATAGTCCTTTACATCAAAGCTGTAGAGATTATCCATGACTTGGTTTTAGAAAAGCAAAAGGAAGAGTAGAATTTCTGCTCACTGACAAGAGGGTCAGCCCTTTTTCAGCTGCCAGAGCCAATGAAAACCAAGAGTTTGAAATGTAACAGTTATTAATTTGGCAAGAAAATAAAACAAATTTTGGAGATTAAGTAACTGAAACAACAAATTAAGCTATTTGTATGCACTAGTGAGGATGAAAGGTGGAATGAGTATGTTTAATGGTAAAATTGATATGGAATGTAGTATCACAACCTTGCCCTAACCTTAGTAATTTTGAACATCAGGATTATGAATAGGGCTAGGGTCAGAGGTAAAGGTACCGTTAGGATGACATTAACTCCACCAAAAGTTACGCCATTCCACAAGACATACCATTCTGCAAACTCATTCTTACTTTTATCCTCATCTTGTGTAAACATTACTTTCTTGTTTATCACCGGTTCAAACAAACTGCAACAGAACTAAAAAAAGGTAACTGTGTTACTAGTTTCAGCACTAGTTCACTCTTGGAGCATTCTCTACAATGCATGTTTGGTGGGGTCCATAATCTATGTGGCCTCTAAAATTGTTTAATTTCAACCATCAGGCCAGTAACTTGATATTTTTTTTCAGCTTGTATGAGGAGATTTATCATTGTGTTGGTCTTTGAATATCAATTTCATAAGTGGAACAATACAGCAGTGATGTGTACTTCTCATTCATAAGACAAGAACATGCAAAATTTGAGCAACAAACAAGGCAGCTTTACAGCTTTTAGTTACATTACTAGTTTGGTAATCTGTTGTATCCTATAATAGAAAGCCCAGACAATACCAGAACCATAACACTCCTTTAGCATTAAAGGTAGTTGATATGAAGTGCAAATGCAAATGAAAGGAACAAGTTGAGGCACTTGGCCGACATTTGCAATTTTCTGGAACGTTAGAAGTTGAAAAGATGGTAAATATGACTAGTAAAAATGTAGTTACCGCTGGTCACCAGTAGTGAGTGCTACGACTCGAATTACGTTTCAACGGCACGAAATGTGGAGGAATTCGAGAAGCGTCGAGTTAAGACTCCACGGCACGAACGAAAGATACCAATTTTTCTTCGATCTGACTCCATATAATACTGTGTCTTGAAGCAAGTCGCTGTGGAACACATATAAAGATCCTAGGTAAGATTCAAAATGATAAATTTAGCTTATTACTTCACGATGACAGTAATGGTTCAGTAGTACGTTTTTTTGGGGGTGTCGCGAAAGCTAAGACATGACCCAAGACCTAAGACCCCCCGAAAACCAGGACCTTCGAAAACTAAGGCCTCTCGAAAAACTTTTGGGTACGGGACATTTTAAAAGAAAGAAGAAGCCAAGGTGATCTTTACAATGTGGAGGAGCTACAATTTGGAGATCGTGAATTTTACTTGAGTTGTATACATGCAGGCTACTGAGCTTAAACGTTGAATATAGATTAGTAAACTTTTCACTGCTAAATTTACACTATCTAATTCAGAAAGAAAAATTGAGCTCTCTGTTTCTCTTTTCTTATTGAATCAAATTCACCACGCATTAGTGTGGACAGTGCATGCATGAAAGAGTGCGTAATCAACTGTTACTTACATCAGCGCAACAGAGAATGCTTTCTATGTGCCGCGTTTCGAGTGAAAGTGTTAACGTAATTAAGAGTGACTTAAGTCAGCACAGCAGAGAATGCTTTCGATGTGCCGCGTTTCGAGCGAAAGCCCGTTTTAACGTATTTTGCTAGAATAAGTTGCCTATTATCAATTTTCGGGAAACTTAAAACGCAATTTTTAAGATCAGTATTTCCGATCGCGGCTCTCGTGCGTGACTTTCAAGTAGTGTTCTTCAAGCAGTCAAGTGTTACAAGGACAACAATTCATGCCAAGAATTCATGACCAGCTCAGTTCATCTTCTTTCGCGTGGTAGAACTTTTGTAACTTTTCATTTAAAATATTATTTTTTAAAGAATAAGAAAGATGGTTCTCGCCTCGTCTAGGCAATTGTCATATGTGACTAGGTCATTTGTTGTGGTGCTGAAAACTTTAGGTCAACGGGGTCTGTTTACATGAACTTTGCTTAAGAGATGATAATAAACAACTGGTAGCATGGCTAATTTCTTTCCTTCCATTACAAGGAGTCACATAATCAAATTTCACTCGGATGCTGAGATAAATGGGTTATTCATAATTTAGGGTAGGAAAAAACTTGTGCTCTTGGTCATGTGTTATATTTGATAAGTAAACAAGACTTAAGGCTCATAATTACATGCACAACTGAAGTGTTAGTCTTGGGGGAGTGAGTGTCAAAGTTGTTGGTTTACACAAACAGTAGCCTCCATGTGGCCCAAAAAATAAATACAGTTGAATCCCGATAATTTGAACCTTGTAGGGGAAGTTGAAAACAGTTGGAGTTATAAGGAATAGAAAACAAAGGATCAGAAATAAGGGTAAAATGGGATTAAGTGTTTCTTTCTTAATGCGTGCAATACACATTTTAAACACTTGATCAGCAGGGATTTGTGTTTCTTTCTTAATGCATGCAATACACATTTTAATGACATTTAATCAGAAAGAAGTTGTGTGAAAATGGAACACCAAAGTAATGCATGGATCACAACCTAACATTAATGTTTAGTGTTGGCACAACTTGTAAAATTAGTCAGCAATACTAAGTACAACAAGCGTCAAATAAGTCATTTACTAACCAACTGCTTTATTTTATATTCGATTTCACTTTTGGTGCCTACCCTGGTGAAAATCTTCGAAGGGTCTTTAAGGATCCTACAAGATCTCAATTAGGACCTTTGAGGATCCTCTTGAGAAACTTCATGAGGATCTTTGAAAATCTTTGAAGATCTTCAAGGATCCTTCATTTTCTTGCCAAGATCTACAAGGATCTTCAAAGTTCTTGTCAAGATCATTAAGGATCTTCCATTTTCCTGTCAAGATCCTTGAAGATCTTGTGTAGATCTTCAAGGATCTTGACAAGAACTTTGAAGATCCTTTAAAGATCACTGAAAATTCTTTGAGAAACTTCTAAATTCTTGTTAAGATCTTTGAGGATCTTTCATTTTCTTGCCAAGATCCTTAAGGATCTTTCACTTTACTGACAATGTTGTAATACCTATTATGATGTCTTTAGGGCTGAGAGCCATAACTTGTTTTGTGATTGTGAAATAATAATTTTTGAAATGTTTCCAAAATATATTCGACTAAGGGCAAAAGAAAAAGAGCTGGTGTATTGTTTCTGATATTTGATTGATGCACACTTGGTGTAAACAACACTGGTGACAATAGATTTATGGCCAAAAGAAAAAACTTTAAATTAACTTTTAAAAAATATTGAACCAAACATTAGAAAATGAAGACAAAACTTTTTTCTTGCTAAATAAAAATTACTCATCCCATTTTAGTAGGACTATTCATGCTGGAAGAAAAAATTTCCGTTTGGATTTCCATTTGCAAAAAATCTAGCCACAGTGCAGCTCAGAGATAAGAGGATCAAAATATATGCATTAAACTCATCAAGAACTAGATTACAACCAGACTCAGACTAGTCTTAAGGCAGGAGTAAACATTGAAATAGACACTTTTTTTCATGAAGGAGTATCTCAATGATTATATTTCTGAACATTATCAAAAGAAAGCTTAGCAATCACAGGTAACTATTATGTTGCCCTAAATTAATTTGTTATTTGACACAAGATCAATTTGTAAACCAAATGGTGTGAAATACCTAAGTATACTTGAGAAAAGATAACTGCACCAAGATTGCATGAAATCAAGTGATTTTAGTGTCAAAACAAAGTACTATATAGGGTCTTGGATGAGGTGAGGAATTTTGGGGGTCATTTATATTATGGGCACAGTACCCGTTCAAAATTCACCAAGATTTTTAGGTGAGTTATTCCACAATAACTTGCTTAAAATTCAACCCATAGAGAAACTGTCTGCTAATCCAACTCAACTCAGTGAGAGCTTGTCCTTATTGCAAAATAATTTTCTGTGAAAATTCCTTGCTGTGCCTAAATCATAAAACAGACAGCCCTCAATTTACAAAAAATCATAATTAAACCATAACAAGTCACATAGGAGATAAAACATGATACATAATAATAATCACAATCTTGCAAGATCCTCAACAATTTATCCTTGCAAAGATCTCAATAGGATCCTTGAAAGGATCTCTAGAAGGTCTTTGAAAGATCCTCATTAAATCCTTGAGGATCTTGAAAAGATCCTGCAAAGATCTTGACCATAAGGATCCTAGTAAGATCCTGATTAAATCCTTAAAGATCATTACAAAGATCTTGACAGGATCCTTGAAAGGATCCTTATGAGGATCTTTGTAATATCCTTTGAGGATCTTTATCAAATTCTTTAGGGTCTTAACAAATGATTTTGCTTGTAAAGATATTTGAAGATCTTTAACAGATGCTTTAAAGATCCATTAAAGATCCTTGTGTTTAAGGACAATCCTCAAAGATCCTGTGAGGTTTTTCACCAGGGGGTAGCTGAGCTATGAATTCATTTGAGAGGCTTTACTTTATAAGACCACAAAAAAGCAGCCTTGGAGTAAAATAATTTTATGTTGGCGCAAACTATGAATGTTTGTTGTATGGAGTCTAGGTAGAGGCAGAAAGTACATTCTTAGTTAATCAAAGTCTTTATGCTTAGGTTTTGGCCTTTCTGATCCTGTATAAAAGCTTGAAAGGGAGCTGTCTTAGTTCGTTGTCTCTTGTTGATTCATATATGTATACCTGGTAAAAGAGAATGAATTTTTCCAGTATTAAAAATAGATCAGAAAGGTATTTTCCCCCTATTTGTTACCAGCTGGTTCAGTGGTGTATCATTAATGATTTTAGAACAATGCTTACAGTGCATGCTGGTCAAATCCATTAGGGTACCAGGAGCCTCTTACTCAAAGATTTCAGTAATTTAATGGGTTTGGAAAGCTGTTATGTTTCCTTTCAGAACGGGGGTTTCAAAAGTTTTGAAAATTCTACAATTAAACTATCAACTATTGAAACAAAATATATTGGTTAGAGTGCTAGAAAGTGCCGCTCTAATCTTCAAATTTTAATTTCAAGCATGTCTTCAGGCCCGTTAAGTTACCAAGACTTTTGAGAAACAGGTTCCAGGAACCTTGGTTGTATTCAGTAGCTCAGGTTCAGGAGTATCAGTCATCTGGGCTTTCTCTTTTTAAATCCAGTGGAATTGCTGCTATCAATTGAAAATACTTACTGAAGAAGTTTGTTTTGATTTTTTGATGAAAGCAATTTTTCCAAAATAACATATTTTCAATAGTTGTCAAGTACAGCAGTAATGCAGGGATTTCAACCCATAGCCATAGTAATGCCCATACTAAATAGGCATTACTACAACCAAACTATGAATTGCACACAAAGTTTTGGTGTGAATGCACCCTCCAAGGTTTGGAGTAACCTTAACCCTCGACACCCTAACATCAGCGTCAATATTCTCTACACTCTTCTCTGTTCATTTCCTTTGGTACTGATAAGGAGAATTTGTTTAACATTCAAAACCTCTCAAGTCGGCAATCATTTTTTTCTTTTCTCGTGATGTTATGAATGATTCAGCAGTGTTAATGTAAAGAGAAATCAGATGCTGATCACTCTTAGGGTTTTACCCTTTAACTCCCATGAGTGACCAAGATAGAATTTATCCTCGCAACATTGTCAAGTGATGAGAATTAAGAAAAATATCCATTAGGGGATCACTAATTGATCCAATACCTAATTCTCAAAACTAACGTCATATGAATTGTATGGCAGACAGTAAGGGAGAAAAGTAATGGCATGTGGGAGTGAAAGGTTTAAAACCCTTTAACACCCAAGATCTCATTAGTAATTCTCCTTACTGTCTGTCATATAGTTCTTGTGATGTTAGTTTGGAGAATATGGTAATGGATCAACTAATCATCCCCTAGTTAAGATTTTTCTTTATTCTCATCACTTGTCTGCTTGATATTGTATCAATATTGTAAGGAGAAGTTCTGTCTTGGTCACTCATGGGAGTTAAAGGGTTAAGTTGGCAAATCCAAGCTCCTATGAGATGGCTGTCTCTTTGTCACCCAATGCCACATGAAATAGTTTCCTTAAAGATGAAATGTAAATAATCATAAATATTAGTAATATGAGCTATGATGTCAGTTTCTATGATTATCAAGTTGGGAAAAATATTTAGATGTGTTTGAGTGAGGATTTGTTTTCTCAAATTATAGGTAGAAAACTTACACAGGAGAAACTGGCAAAATAATACAATTTGAAAATATTCATACTCTATTGATGGGATGTGATGTGTGAGTGTCAGTCAAGGGCATACCTGGTCAAGCAAAAAGGCTGTTTATGTTAATATGTCTCTGTCTTCAGCAACACTTTGTAAGTGCAGGAAGTTTGTTGTAAATTGAAAGATTTTGGCTGAAGCAGACACATCTTCAAATCCCCCACAATTTTCATTGTGTTGCAGTGTTTTGAAAGGTTTTTTACCTGAGTGAAATAGATAGTTATGTCGACTATAAGGTAGTGCTGATATTATAGGTTATCCAATATGGCAGCCTTTTTTTTAATTTTCCACTTCTTTCCACTATAATTTTAGGCTTGTTTTTTTAGCTTTTGAACTCAATAGAAAAGTACCCAAAGATTTTGGCCAAAAAAAGTAAGAAAAGACTACTTAGGTAAGAAAGATTTTTAAGTAAGAAAGATTTTGGCCAAAGGAGACACATCTTCAAACCCCCCACAATTTTCGTTGTGTTGCAGTGTTTTGAAAAGTTTTTTTACCTGAAATAGATAGTTATGTCGACTACAGGGGGGTGTTGATATTATAGGTCATCCAATATGACAGACTTTTTTTTTTAATCTTCCACTTTTTGTCACCTTAATTTTAGGCTTGTTTTTTTAGCTTTTGAACTCAATAGAAAATTACAGAAGAAAAGACTCAGAAAATAAATAATAGGTTTGCTGTACTTCCCTTTTCAACTTGAAAGTTTTCATACATTCGTAGCTCATATGAACCCTTAAACCACATCTCACATGTCATTTGATATCTCCTATTATCAACCAGCTTTATGTACAGCAAGTTCAAAGCAAATATCTCTCCAATATAAACAAACAGCTACTGAGGAAGACAGTTTCCCACATCAAATATTTTTGTTTAAACTAATAAAAACCCTAGAGGATTTTAGCCCTAGAGGGTTTTGCCCCCCCTTTTTTTGAGAGCTTTTGTGGCAAGTTTTCTGTTAAGCATGTGAGACAAATCATCTGCGGCACTGCCTTCTAGCATCATTAGACAACCCCTAGTTCTTTTCAATGCTATACAAATCGTGCCACAGTAGCCAGTCATGCAGTGTTAAACTGCTTTTTCGTACTTTTTCACCATTGTCTTTTACCTTTTAACCAGATTCTTTCTATTAAAGTTTATTGGGAATCTCTTTTGTAGTATTTATTAGAAATTTCTGTTGTCTACTTTTTGTACTTTGGATTGCTCCACTTGATGGTGACAGGCGGAACAAATTGTTTGCACAGTGACAACTATGGGTTAAGGATAAGAATCATAGGGACAACCTGTAGATTGAATGAACTGGTTGTGTGAAGCTATGTAAAGGGACTTGTTGGAAATGCACTTCTCTTTGTATGTCCTGACTCGTGTAAAGGTTTTTCTTTCAGGGCATTGGCCAGGAATTGCACTGTCAGTAAATCTCTTTGTTAGTCCAATTGTTCTAATAAAACTTCCTTTCCTGGAAGAGTATTCCTTTTGAAACATATTTTACCCAACTCACCATCCAATTTCTTTGTTTATTCAAATTTAATACATTGCTTCTGAAACCCGTCCAGTTTGCCCGTCTGGTTGAATAAATCTTTTCTTTTTCACCTCTAGTATTTTAGAGCACTTTTCTCGTCAAGGAATGTCTCCTAGTTTATGCTTCGATGGCCAAAACAAAAACGTCCATGACTAACCAGGCGCACAAAAAGAGGAAAATCAAATCGCTTTCTAAAGAAACTCCAAAACCTGAAAGCAACTCTTGTCTGGAAAAGGCATTTAAATGTAAAACTTGTGACAAGTGTTTTACAATAAGGGAAAATCTCCAAATTCGTGCAAGATCCCACACTGGAGAAAAGCCATATCATTGCAACACCTGTGACAAATGTTTTACAAAGAAAAGAAATCTACAAAGACATGAAAGATCCCACACTGGAGAGAAGCCATACCAGTGTAAAACTTGTGACAAGTATTTTACAGAAAAAGGAAATTTAAAGGCACATGAGAGGTCTCACACAGGAGAGAAGCCATACCAGTGTAAAACATGTGACAAGTGGTTTACCCACAAAGGGAATCTAAATGTTCATCAGAGATCTCACACCGGAGAGAAACCATACCAGTGTAAAACATGTGACAAGAGGTTTACTCACATAGGAAATCTACATGTTCATGAGAGATTCCACACTGGAAAGAAGCCATACCAGTGTAAAACGTGTGACAAGTGGTTTAAGCAAAAGGGACATCTACAGGTACACGAAAGATCTCACGTTGGAGAGAAGCCATACCAGTGCAAAACTTGTGACAAGTGCTTTACTCGCAAAGAGAATCTACTTATTCATGAAAGATCCCACACTGGAGAGAAACCATACCAGTGCAAATTTTGCGAAATGTGTTTTACTTCAAGTAGAGGTCTACGAGTACATGAAAGATCCCACACTGGAGAGAAGCCATATCGGTGTAAAACTTGTAACAAGTGTTTTACTCAAAAAAATAATCTAGATGTTCATGAGAGATGTCACACTGGAAAGAAGCCATTCCAATGCAAAACATGTGACAAGTGTTTTACTCTGAAAGGGAATCTAGATGTTCATGAGAGATCTCACACAGGAGAGAAGCCATACCAGTGTAAAACTTGCGACAAGTGGTTTACTCTTAAAGGGAATCTAGATGTTCATGAGAGATCTCACACTGGAGAGAAGCCATACCAGTGCAAAACTTGTGACAAATGGTTTAATCGAAAAGGAACTCTACAAAGACATGAAAGGTCACACACTGGAGAGAAGCCATACCAGTGCAAAACATGTGACATGTGTTTTACACAAAAGGGACATCTTCGAGTCCATGAAAGATCTCACACTGGAGAGAAGCCATTCCAGTGCAAAACTTGTGATAAGTGTTTTACTGCAAAAAGAAGTCTACAAATTCATGAAAGAACCTGCACTAAAGAGAAGCCATACCAGTGCAAACCCTGTGATGTGTGTGTAACGCGAAAGGGAACTGTTCGGGTCCATGAAAGAAACCACACGAAAGAGAAGCCATACCAGTGCGAAACGTGTGACAAGTGTTTTACCCAAAAGGGAACACTACAAAGACATGAAAAATTGCACTCAGCTCAGCAGCCATATTCTTCAGATTACGACGAAACATTTACGTGCTGGATTTGCCAGGAGGAACTGAGCAGTGCTTCCCAGCTCCTTAGCCACTATGAGGAACACATGCAATTGCCTTGATCTTATTGTTTATCAGTCTATTTGATTGGCTTTTGGCTGATTGGAGCATACATTTATGTAGCTTTTAGTTGATCGTCACCACTGCTGCTCAATACTTCTGCTCCCAGGTGTTACATTTCTGATCAGGGAACACTTTTTGCAGTTCTAGGGCCTCTTGGCGAGAGGTTACTCAGTAGTGTTGAGTCAAAATTAAGCAAACAAACTGAAAACAAAGCACACTTACGATAAATTAGGGGGGAAACTTTTATATGGACCTATTGCGTTTGACGGGACGGAAGTGTTGAAGTATTTCAGTTGACCTGTACGTAAATTGCTTCGGTTGTATACTGAAAAGTTTGTATAGACAAAGGGTTTGTGTTTTGTTATAGCGGAGCTCGCAGAGCGTAGCCCCATAATTATACAAAATAGTAGTAACCCATCAAGCCGAAAATTTGGATGTACGACCGTAAGACCCTAAGATCCGGGTACGGCTTTGTTCAGTAGTCCAGTGGTCAGTGCACTGGGCTCCGAGTCGGACGACCCGGGTTCTATTCCTGGCCGGGGCAAGGCGTTGTGCCCTTGAGACGTGCGGGGAAAAAAATGCAAGCTCCGCTTTTAGGCTTGGCTAAATCTATATATCAATTTTCTTTTTATACCCTGTTGGTGACGACTGATCCCCGCACCATTTCCCTTGAATACCATGTGATCCTCCCCAACAATATTCCATCCCAAAGTCGATAAGTACTGACCGGTCCCAAAGAGATTGAAATATTTTTCGGAGGTTATGAGAAGTTATCAGCGAAAAAAAAATTAATATCGGGGGATTTGGGCGTGTGGGGGATTTGCGTGACATTGGTAAGGAGACTATACTAGGCTGCGTAATAAATGATCTTGTATTTCTACGATACCACAATCTCACTCCCGCGCCTCTCGAAAAAGGATAGGTGACGATCTGTTCATGCGTAGGCAGGCTCCGCTGGACAAATGTTTCTCATGCGCCCCATTTTCGGTTTTTCCACCACAACTTATCGCGGATATTAAAAGAGGAGTTCTCGAAAATGAAAAGTTGATACGTCTTTACTTTATTTCTCCCTTTATTGTTTTGTTTTATCATGTTTTTTTGTGTTTTCTTTTTTGCGTTTTTTTTCTTTGTTTTGTTTTGTTTCGTTTTTTTTTCTGTCTTGTTTGAGTTCTATTCGGCGTGTTTTTTTTTCTGTTGTTTTGCTTGTCTTGTTTTATTTTTGTTTTGTTTTGTTTTATTTGTTTAGGCTTTTGGTTTTTTGTCTGTTTTTTTTTCTAAAGCTATTTCTACCGTCACCGTTGTCTTTTTACATCGACACCATGCAGATTGAAATAATGTACAACCCTGCCAACTCGATTTGTTATGGAACCTGTGAAACAGATAGGGAGTTTGAGTGGCTGAATGAATGAAAATTGCTCTAGAAGGGAACTGTTTGAGTTTGAGTTTCTCTGCAGCCCTCCAATGAACTTTACTAAGGTTAAAATCAGTTTATGGCCAATTGTTGCATTTCCACTCATCTCGGAACTGAACGAATCTGACTGAAGAGCTTGTCGGTCCGACAACCAGGGTCGCGAAACTAATTTGAATTGCAAATTATGTTCCTATTCATTATTCATATTTGTTGCCAGTCTTGCACGTGGAAGGATTTTGAAAACTGCAAGCCAGAAATCGTGGGGTCTTGTTTAGCTTCACTGGGGTAAAGAAGCATTTAATTTTCGGCGTTATTCTCTTCGAAGTCGTCAGTTTTGAGGACGATCGTCGACGTCTGTTTCTTCGGGATTGCTGAATGGATTTGTTTGGATTCGACGTCGAGGAGTGATGGATGTCACTTTGTCACGAATTTTCGTCAAGGTAAATAACTCTTGTATTAATAATTTTCGATAGAAATTCGGTGTTCATGGTTTTTTTCCTTTCCCCTATGTACTGAATGATCGACTGAGTTGAATGTAAAGGGAAGGGCATGTCGCAAACTGTACAGTGGAAGTCATCCTACGGCATGTGAATGCAGCCATGACAGTTCTTCTTGGATCATGGGACTTCATTGCAATACAGCGAGATGTGTACTTTATTGTTCGTGTATTGATCGCAGTTTTAATCATGTTTACCTATATTTGCGGACCTAGTTTTTTTCTTATTAGCATGTTATATTATGTTCACGATGTTTAACGATGATTTTGTTTCAAACACGCCTAATATTTCGTCTCCCACCAATCATCGCCTCAGAAAAAGAGAGGGTGAGAGATCGTCAAAGCACTTCAACCCTTTAACTCTCAGATCAAATTTGTAATTCTCCTTATTGTCAACCATTCAATTCTTGTAATGTTAGTTCAGAGAATTTAGTATTGGATCAACTAATTATCCCCATACTGATATATTTCTTTATTCTCATCATTTATCTGGTTAATATTGTATTTGATATTGTGAGGAACAAGGGGGGGGGTTAACGTTAAGACATTTTACTTGATACCAGGGGCTTGTTTCCAGTCCTGATGCAGAGACTGCAGATGGTAGAAATTCCAATTGCCCAGAAGTACGAGTTGTTACTAGCAAACTGTTGTTTAATCCTGATGAAATACTAAGGGGTCACCCAACTTGGAAAAGCATCATCCCTTCGATGAGGAGAAGTGACACATCTACCCGCTTCATGCTACAGAACCTGTAGCGGCTGTGGAAGACGTATCTTAAACAGAGAGAGCCTCTATTTCGAGGCGTTTTTTTTTAACATGTTCCTGAGATCTTGAATGAAACAGTGCCTGTTAGCTTTAACCCTTAAACTCCCATGAATGACCAAGACAGAATTTCTCCTTACGATATCAATGCAATATTAACCAGGTAAGTGATGAGAATAAAGAAAAATATCAATTTAGAGATAATACGTTGATCCAATATTAAATTCTCTGAACTAACATTATAAGAATTGTATGGTTGACAGTAAGGAGAATTAGAAATTTGATCTGGGGGTTAAAAAGTTAAGGTTTAGGGTTCAAATTTATTCTAACATAGGCGTTTATTTTAGAAATGTTTATTTCCTGCTCCATTCGACAAAATTATCGATATTAAACGTGAGTGCTCCAACAGAGTCTGTTTTTCTGACAGCGTCAAGCATGAGATGGAATGACCTGGAGATCAAAAACTGCATGGGACGAAAGCAAAATGGACAGCATCTTCAAGGTTGGCTATTTAGTATTTTCAGAGCTCTTTTTAAAGCAATGATTATGTTTTGCAAAATAATAGCTTTTTCCGCAACCACATGAGAGCCTTGGAGTCAAATTATCAAATATCTGAGCTCTTGAGGCCAAAACCAAGTCACTGTGCTCCAAAAGTTTATAGTTATCAAAATGTTTTTTGTTTTTGTTTTTTTTTTTAAATTGTGATTCTTTTAGATCCCTGATTTGTTAATGGTCAAAAACGCTTTTTTCGTTGAATGAGAGTTGCTTTGCTCAAGCTTTTTTTTCTCGAGCCTAAGTATGCCTTGTAGAATCGCTGAGTTTTTACGAGATCTGCCGTAAAAATCAAACAACCACTTAAAAGATACTCAGCGAATTCTTACACACCAAAACGTGGAATAAGTTATTTCTTACCTAACGTAAGCTTATTCTACATGTATTTCTTATGAGGCGCGAAAAGCGAAGCAGTAAGGTTTAATTTTTGAACTTTTTGCTTATTCAATAATAGATATAGGAACTTAATGAAATGCCAGAATTCTCCAGACTAAAACCATTTTCAAAAATACACTCCGAAAATTGACATTTCTTAAATTGTTCAAAGGATTATTCATTTTCAAATCAGACAAATAAGGGTGTGATATTATTAATAAGAAACATGTAATGAAGCTCATTCTTGTGGCTAACACCTAAGTTGGTTGCCGGGTTAAATAACTCAGCTTGAATCTTGGATAAATTAAGTCCGTGCTTTAAGTTTTCCTTCTGTGGTACATATGAAGCGTAGGGTACTTTTGCAAGAGATTTTATCTGATGAAAAAGCACCGAGAAAAATAGTAAAAAATAGTACTCTAAAGAAACTGATTGAATGAAGAAATATAAACGTTGAAAACTATCTTGCTCGGCCTGTATCCAAATTTCGTGAAACCGTCGTCTTATGTTGTGATGATGCTGAAGAAATCGAGTTTTCAATGTAATAAAATCAAGAATTGGTTAAAAAATATTTAGGAGGACCGGATTCATTAAACTATGATGAATCCGTTCCTTCTGTGTCATCTAAAGATTATGATTACTTTTATCGTAAATGAAGGACAAAATAAAGTCTCTGAATCGCAACACAAGTTTTTTCGATTCGAAGAAGGAAAAACGAACGTAATAGAGCATACCAACAAATTTGCTATCGAAGGATCACAGTTTCCTTTGAGCTTTTTATGCCAGTGCTACCCCTGGACTGAAACTGATCATTAGGCCTGATCGTATACACATTGCAGGGCGATCGGGAATTCAGTGAGCTCTGAAAAGAGCTCCCGAACATCAACAACTTGGTGGTCGGTGCACGCCATCAGGATTCACTTCGTCTGTAAAGCGAAGGTGTGACTTGTGAAACACGTAGCACTTTTAAAATTCACGACAATTGTGAATAATTGTACAAGCGCAAGTGTTTCAACAATGTTTGACTGGCGTATTGTTATTCATGGCTCGCTCGCTCAAAACGCGCCATTTTTGAACGCAACTTCGACTAAAAATTTTCAAACTGAAAAGGATAAAGGTTCCCGTTGGCCAATTTTCGAAATTAAAACGGTTTTTTCTAGGGGAAAGATTGATCTGCCATTTGCCGTGCGTTGATTTGTTGTGGGTAATAAGGGTTTTCAGAAAATCGCTCTTGAAAATGACTTTCACATTAAAAATGGAAGAATTTGGAGTATTTTCAAGTGCAAAAGGATAATGCTTCTACTTCGTAAAAATCGTAGACACATCTTTAATCTTCAAAAAGGCGTGCGTTGATTTAGAAGCAAGCCTTCTTAAATCAGAAAAGTGAGTTTTACGAAGCTTAGTGGGCTGCACAATTCTCATGCTGTTGTCGTTAGTTTGGAGAATTTGGTTTTGGATCAACTGATAACCTAATGGATATTTTTCTAAATTCTTATCACTTGTTTGCTTGATATTGTAAGGAGAAATCCTGTCTTGGTCACTAATGGGAGTTACAGTTATTGGGGACGCTTCTGTACTTCACAACCAACCCCTCGAAATCATTATCGCTTGAAAAAGCAAGCCTAAGAATATTCCACTAATTTATTGATTCATTGCGCATTTTCATTTTCTCGTAGATGGACTGGTGAACACCCTAAGCAAGAAAGACTAATTACTAAGGCACAAAGCAGATAAAGGACATTCCTCTCCAGATCACAACGAGTACCAACCAGAAACTGAAAAGGCTTGAGGCCAAACGTATTTATTTCGCGATTTTGTTAGACATTGTAATCGAATTTATTTAGAACTTTTCAACGAGTTAACTTTTCCTGCCAAAAAAAATCAGGCGCTCTCAATACGTATGCACCATTTTTTTTCTTTATTGATTCTGTAAGTAACATCTGTTCAACTGTGGCGGATTTTCCCGCCAAAAGACTTAGAAAAAATACGCATGCGCCGATTTTTTTAAAAAAAAAATGCTATGTTCATCGTTGTCTACTTATATTTTTACCATATACTCACAAATAAGTCAATAAAAATATCAATTTTTGTATTGTCTTTTCTTATATTTACTCAATACAACGTACACCAAACATGTTTCCTTTAACAAAAGCATTTGTTTATTTTCAATTGCTAGTTAATTCTTTTTTTAATTAATAACAAAGTGTCTACAAAAAATTTTCGTGTATATACTAAGACTTTTGGCGGGAAAATTTAGACCAACTTGCACAGAGTTTCCCCTGGCAGCTTTTTCAGCAAAAATTTCAACAAGGCTTCCTTTTAAATTTCCCGTCAAAAATTATTTAAACATCATCTGGTGCAAAAAAATTGAAAATTAAATACCAATTCTCTCTATGCTTCAACAGAAATAAACAACATTGTTCCGATTTTTTTTAAGCATGATTTTGCATCTATTCTGTGCTTCTTTTTCACAATATTTTGGACTTGAGTTTCTTGCACGAGATGATGTTTTTAAGAGTTTTAAAGGAAAAAGCACCATGGCAAAGTGTAAGGATTTTTACCTGAAAGCATTTCGATTAGCGATCGTCGAAATAGAATTGATAAATTTTGTTGTTGCTGAATTTTTTTCATGGCCAAATTGAGTTATTTAGGCTAGAGGTTGCCATGATGTTTTTTCAATACGTAAGATCTTTCACGCAGCTAGTTTTCGAATGTAACACAGGAGAGAAGCCAGAAAAATAATGAAATATTTTTTTCAAAATATTGAACTGAATTTGTGAAGCAGTTCATTGACTGAAACAATTTTCAATCGTTACAGAAAACGCCTTAAGTTAGATTTTAGCCGTATTCTCTTCATAATCAAGCGGTCAAAAAGAATTATAATTTTGAACGTAGTTTTTTTGAGATCTATAATTCTATTACAGAAATTGTTTTGAATAAGACAGTAGAATCATTCGAGAATGCTCCTCCAGCTTATATTTGGCCGCTAGAGCTAATAAACATTTCACGGTAAGACTCCAAGTGCTTTGACGGAATTCCCGAAGCGATTAAAAAAAATTAAATGGTATCAAAAAAACTTATTCCATTTTGATTTCGGTCGTAAGAATTATCGTCTCACAAATGGCTCTAGTTCAACTTAACTTAAACATTGTCTGAAAAAAGTACTTTTTTCCTGTGTTACACCGAACCTGATGACAGCGCGAAAGATATTTCCATAGCTACAAAAGTAAATAAACTACGCTACAACTAAAAATCAAATGCCTTGCCCAACGAGAAACTAAGGATTGTTATGTCGAGTCCAACATTGCTGTTAAATTTCGACAAAATTAATCATTCGAACTGAGACGGCGTTACACAACCCAGCGAAACGAAATCCTTCGCAACATCATATTTCAGAACTTTCAAGTTTTAAAGAGGGAAAGAGTATTTATCACATTGATTATTCAATTTTGAATTAAAACTTTTCAGTTAAGTTCTGCGTGTTTCTTTTTCACGAATTAGCAACGAGGTTCATAGTTCCTTACACTTCCGGATTGTTTCTCGTTACTATGCGAAATTACGAACGAAATATTACTAACATTGACGATTCGAGGCCGAAAAAGTTTTGAATATTGCATGAATATTGTGTCATAAAAAAATCTGTGTACTTTTGGGAAAGATTTCCCTAAAACAATGCCGTACTTTATCCAAAAATTAAGACAACCTATTGTTTTAGCATCGTTTTCTTTTGTCCAGGTACTGCATGCAAATGCAACGAAGTTTGGGGTTTACGGAAATCTTGCTCCAGGCATAACGAAATCCAAACAGGCTTTAAAGCTGTATTGCAAAAAATAGCCAATTTAAGAAATTTCAAACTAGAATCCGATGAAAATCACGACTAAGGCTTTGCGGGCTGCATGAGCATATACTGGTATTGCGTGCATGTACAAATAATCATTTAACTATTTTTCAAGCAAGTGAAATAGATCGTAATTTTGTCGAGACGATTATAAAGAAAAACAAAAAGATTTTCTTAGCATACATTTCCACGAAAGATAAAATCTAAAATTCTTCGCACCGAACTAGAAACAGGCGAGCATGCATATTTCAATAGCTTTTCGAACAATGTGATGCTTATTTTTCTTTCATTTGAGGGAAAAAACACCAATTTAAATCCCATCGGAAGAGAAAAAATCCATTTCTTTTCGATAACAACAGGATTTCGTTTGAACTGGCTTATATACCGATACATCTCAGCTCGCCAGAGTCCTTCCAAGGCTTGTTGCGACCAGGCATTTGAGTTTTAAATAAATCGTCAAGAAGCCTAATTAAGACTTGTTGCAACCTTTATACTATTTTAGTTAATATGGCAAAGCAGTAATACAAGTGTAAGATGGCACTGCACTTTATTTTGTCTCTTTTTTAATTTTGGCCGAGAAATGCCTCTTTAATGAGCAATATTTAATCTGTGACTTAATTAACTCATGTCGAGATTGAATCATGAATTTTCACCAATTCGACTTACAGTAGGTTGTAAATCTCATGAAGTGTCCGTCAGTTGTGATCAGGCGGTTATGTTGAATCAAAGTCAGTAAATGAGTGAATACGCACCGACCCCTCCCCTAACCCAACATTGACCCTAACTTGTTGTCAGTTGATTGTTGCTGGGTTAGGGGAGGGGTAGGTGTGCAGTTGCCCAGATACTAACAATGGTCCTTACTGTTTATGTCTTGGAATAGTCGTTTGAAAGGTTCTGTTGTGACTTGTTGACAGGATTCTGTTCTTAGCTGGTAGGTTGGTAGATTATCTATCTGCGGGACCGTTCGTCATTTATTGCCCCCCGGGCGATAATTATGACTGGTTTCCAGCGTCAGTCGGTAAAGATAGTTAGCTCTGTAAGTTCAACATTGAGTATAGTTGTTGTCAATAGTGTAGTTTTTTAGTTGTTGATGTTCAGTAATATAAATTTTAGAATTGTATTTTCCTTTAACTGAGGCCTTTTATTGCAGTGCCACCGTAACAAATATCATCTGTTTGCCACATCGACAAAAATGTCCTTGTGATAAGAACTGTAAAGCAAACAAAAAATGAGCGATCACTCGAACTTATTCATCAAATCCCAATTGCTGCATGTGCACAAGCGATTTAAGTCTTCTGTGATAAATTACGCCAAATTAGGGGTACTTTTGGTATGAATCCTACGTTCGCCCAAGGTCTGCAGATCAATCCTTATCATAGAAAATTAATCCAAAAATGGTGGCCAAATGAAAACTCTTCACTTACCAAGTGCACATTTTCAAGAATAGCATGAGTAAAATCAGTCAGCTGATGGAAAGTAAATTCTCCCTTCAAAAGTCAGTTACTTAGTAGCCACCATTTTTGTTCCTGCTATTAGATAACTTCAAAGATCTTATCTTTGTGGTATCCTCTTTATATTCATTGTTTCATCAAGTTCTTCAAGTCAAACTCTTGGATTCTTTCATCCTCTTATCAACATCCCACCAGTCTTCCTGAAAATATGAATTATCAATGTGGTCAGGGACTGCTCTTTATTCTAAATCGCAACAAGAAAACCATCATAATGAAATAAAAATTTCGTATTTTCTTGTTCTCTGAAAAATTTGTAAGGAAGGAATCTAATTAAAAGAGGACTTCCAAAATTCACGTGGCTGCGTTCAACTACAAAATAACGTCCCAAATAGATCTAATGATTATGTAAACGTTCGACCAAAAGACGAATTTCTGTCATGTTTTAAACAATCATATAATCTGCTTCTGTATTTGTCTACAGTACAGGCATCTTATTGGGGCGAGTTAACGTTAAAGGCTCGGAATCGTTTATTCGACCGACCATGTTTGATTTAGAGTTCGAGTAGAAGGTGAGGGAGAGGGGGGAAAGGCGAGAGTAATTTCCCCCACACTCCTCCCTCTGCTTCATTTTGACCGTCTCACCCCCTCCCTTAGTGCAACTTTTCTTTCTCGCCACAGCTTTCCGCTGCTGTAAAATCTAAGAGATGAGCGGGCAGTTATGATTTTCACCAAGAAAATGCTGAACGCCCGCTCTGCAAGCTACTTCTGCATGTGCAAACACTTATTTCAAATTAAACTTTTTTTTGGAGAGTCTTTCTGACCGAACAAATGACACGTGTTGGCTCGGTGAACCGAGAAAGTGCGACGTTTTTAGCTTTTTGAACGAGTAAACAATACCAGTTTCCGAAAAAATTCTCACCTTACATTACGGTGACATTTACAGTAGCTTTTGTGACTCTTCTTCCTGGCCAAGTGAGGTTTATTTTCCCCTCCAGAGTAAAACTTCCCTTCAACTATGAACGGTAATTTTTAACTTTGCGTCGGAAAACGTAGTTTGATAAAAATTCAACAACTTCTGATGAATATGGATTAACAATACAAGCCAATAACTGGCTGATACGTCACAGATTTGGTGTCAGAGTTAAGTTTGCACGCCCAGCCAGAGAGACAGTGTGTGGCTGGGACGAATTTGCATATGAAAAGTGGACAAACTTAACAGTAATTGAAATGTAGCGTGGAAACACCCTTGGGACAAGGGCAAGTGTCTCTCACAAAGAGATTGAGGGAGGCAAGGTGGTATTTGTTTATAACTCATAAGCACAAAAAAATAACATACTTTTTACCATCCTGACTTAAATCTGCTGGGGTCGTTATTTTAAGCAACTTGATGATGTCTAAAAAACCATGATTGACGTAAATCTCTGCGAGTAAGTTTCATATCAACATTGCATTAATAACAAATCAAACCCAAAATCGAAAAAGATTTTTACTCTCCTAGATGGAGAGCGTAGAAAAAGGAAGCAAAAGTAAAGATAACTTAAGGTTATTTTCCTTTGAAGGAAAGATCTGGGGAAATTAATGCATTGTTAATCTCTTACGAAGGAGAGGCAAGATTGAATTAAATAGCAAAATCTCCCGCAGCCCACGCGAAAGAACGCAAAATAAGGAGGGCGTGCTGTTATTCCCTAAGGAAAAAACGCAAAATGAAAAGAAAGCACTGTTTTTTTCGTATTTAACCCTTTGAATCTCAAGATTGACTAGCATCTAATTTCTCCTTACAATAATACCCCTAAATCACATATCAAGGTAACGAGAATAAAGGAAATGATCACCAACTAAAGAGGCTCTTGATTGCTAAACAGATTCTCCTTGTGAAAACCTTTGGAAATGTTTAGGGAACAGTGTGGAGAAAATGGATACCGATGCAAGGGTTTGAAGGGTTAAATCTTGACTCCTGACCCCTGACGCCTCGTCACTAACCTGTCTCTTTTTCACGGTTTTCACTCAGGGGTAGGGAAATCCTCACAGTTTCCGTCAATAGGGAATTTAGCGCCGGGAAGACTCAAGCAGGAGGAAGGGAGGTTTCCCCTAGTGAGGAAATTTTTTTTTTGCACCTCTACCGGTACTTTCGGTAAATGGTTTCAATGTTATATTTGTATCTCTCGCACTCAACTATCTGCAAATTGCAAATTATAGAGCCAAGGCTTTTAAAGAATATAAGGAATACGCTCGACTTGTAACGGGGCAGAGGCGCGGTGCCCGATGGTTAGCCCTTTCACTCCCTAAAATCTCTTCGGCTGTTAAAATGAGAGTTGGTAGGATTGGGGCCAGATCCAAGTTCCTTCAGTGCTATGGGGACGTGGATTTCTGCTGCTACCTATATCTATTTCCCTTCTTCCTGTTCCTTTTTTCCTGTGCCCCCTCGTATCAAGAATTTTCTGCAGTAGATATTTGAGTGATTTGACATAGCTCGTGATATTAAATTCTGCGCTGTTGGATATCGCTAACGAATACTAATAACTGTTTAGAACTAAGAAGCAAGATTTTGTTCCACGGGTTAAGAAAGTCACTCTTATCAATCCAGTTGCGTGACTCAAGGTCTCGTAAGAGTGAATGGGTCACGTAACTTTCTCAGAACAAAGAGCCAGTCACGCAAAAAGAATGCACACTGAAATGGTTTACTTTTCTAAATTACTTCATTTTAATTTTATACCATTTCTTACAACTAGAGCAATATTTGAACCAGGCTAAAGCACATTATGACAACAGGCCTATCATCATTAATACTTGAAGTTTCCGCCGCGTAATTCATATAAAAAATCAAATATAAAATAAAAATAACGTTTTCGGGCAAAGCGGAACGTAAAATCGTCTACGACGAGGACGAAATAGAAGCGTTCGAATCCGCATAAGCGTGACTGCTTTTTTTTTTTTTTGTGTTGAGAATGGCAAAGTTTAAATTTGAAGCGTGACATTGTATTTAGAGCATGTTCGGCTATCGTTGAGGAAGGAAAAATTGCGATGACCGGACTCTCTTGTGATCCGCTCGTAACAGTGTTCAACCATTTGATCCAGGTCCCCAGCCTTCACCAGATCGTCCAATAATTCATTTTTCATATTACTTTTTTCATTCCCCTGGGTAAGTCATACACCTTCAGAATAAGGCTGACTCCTGAAAGATAAAAATTGTAGAGAAATGAGCCCAATTCTTTTTTTTCACTTTCTTTGTAGAAGTTATGGGGCGAACTATAAACCCTGTCCCTGCCACTCCCTCTGAAGTTAAATGTGGGAGGGGTGGTGTGACGATTTGCTTAGTAACTCAATGAAGAGCGCCCCTGGATGACTGCACTTGATTTCGAAAAGTGAGCGACAACGAGATTCGACTTTACTGCCATTGAACGAGAAAAGAAGACAACATAAGATTACAGTTGATAATAACGGATAAGAGAAAAACAAGTCTCCACGACAAATCCCGTCGAAAAAAAAACCGATCCGCGTGCACCACAGGTCACTGCGATTCATTTAACCCTTTACCTCCCAGAAGAGATTGACATGTAACTTCTCCCTACAATATCAATACATTTTTCAGCAAACAGGTAATGAGAATATTCAAACTCATCAGGCACAAGATATTACCTTGATTGAACACCAAATTCTCGTAACCAATTTAAAGGAAATGTGTAACAGCTAGAGGGGAGAATTAACAATCAGATCTTAGGAGTTAAAAGGTTAATTTTTTCGTCGACACGATCATACTAGCTTGGATTTGTGCGGTTTGTTTCAGGCACAAAAAAACCGTCGCCGGGGAGAAGAGATAATAGCAAAAAGCTAATCGAAATGAATTGTAGCTGCGTCGTATCGCTTCAAGTGCGCCAACCTTTAGGGATCGTTATAGAAAGCAGTTAAACACAACATGTAAAAACCGTCATCTTAAAAGGAATACTCACATTGAAATACGTGGACATCAAAATCTCGTAGTTGTCACTGTTCACCAGCCGTCCTCTCAGTCTCTGGGGTTTTACGGCCATGTTTCTTGCCCGTATCTTGGTGTTGTCCTCGTGGGCTTCCTCGCCGTTCTTTGAATTGTTTATTTTTCGGTTTGTTGAACGGCTGGTTAGCAGGCTGCCCCGAGGAACCGTATCTGAAAGGGGAACAGTTACGTGATTTAAGTCGGCCAATCGCAGCAAAGGAACCAGTAACAACTCGACAAAAATGCCCCGTCACCGCCACATAAAAGATTGCTGGTAATTGGATTAAGGATGCAGAGTTTGTCTGATCGGTTGCAGTTATAAAGACAGTGCTGCCACACGTCTAAGCGTATACGACCTTAACGTGCTTACGACAAGAAACCATAGCAACACCATGAGAGAAAAGTGAATATTTGGAATAAGGAGTGGCGACGATTGCTAAACAAATTCTCCTTGTCAACACCTTAGTAAATGTATAGATAAAAGTATGGAGAATATGCATACTGATGTTAGGGTGTAAAGGGTTAAAGAGAGACAAAATATATCCACCATCAATTTTCCTCCTCAAACTCATGCCGAAACTGGCAACGGAACGGCCGGTTAGTCGCAAAAATTGAACTAAGAAATGACATCTATTAGTGATACATGTTTCTCCGAGCTGACAAGGTGACACGCACTGAGTTTTTTTTTGCCTCTTTCAAGAATTCCTACAACATTGATCAATTTTACCCCAACACATCATTGATACAGAAACAAAACATATAATTAGGCGAATCAGAAAGGAGAACTTGGATACATTTTGACGCTTTGTCAACTGGACTTACCTTTGATACGGATATTGGTTAAACTGACTCCTTTCTCCCTGAATCTCATAACCAGTAGATATCGATCCATCCCCGTAAGAGACCAACGAGGGGGAGCCTTGCATGACAGCGTCGGAGCTGTACATCTCGCCAGTCTTGAAAGCGCGTCTCTCAATATTATACATTCTCCTCTGATTCGAGGGATACTGGTTCTGAACATGCGGCGGGGTCTGTTGGTACTGAGAAGGGACTGGGCCCTGTTGCCCGACGGCAGCTGCCATAGCAACACTCCGACCCCCTTGAATGACTAAGGGTACCATAGGTCGGAGAAGTTGCTGTGGGTTGTGGGGCGAAGTCGTTTGTTGTTGTTGTTGTTGATATGGTGTGGTATGCGTCTGTTGTGGTGACTGCTGGGGAATTTGAGATGAATATGTCAGCTGCGCCTGAGCATGTTGATGTTGTTGTTGCTGCTGCTGCTGCAAGTACTGGTTTGTATGAGCAGGCGACGCTGTTTGGGGAGGGGTGGGTGGTGTCTGGGATCGAGCGTGTTGTTGAATGACGGAGGAAGTTACATCTTTAGGAAGGGTGCCGTAGGGAAATTGTTGATATGGTGTTTGAGTCGGTGAAACCACGTAACTTTGGTATTGCTGAGGGTTTGCAGTCTGGGGGACCGCTTGAGCACCGTAAGCTTGGCTTTGTATCAACGGCCTCATCTGCGACTGCATGCCTGAAGGAGGTAACACAACGTATTGCATTTGACCACCTTGAGTGACACTGTTGACGTACATTGGCGAAGTTGTACGAGTGGAGCTCGGCACGCCTGACTCAGCGTACTGTTGTTGGTGGTGATACGAGGTCGATTCCAGAGTGGCTTGTCCCGAAAGAGAAAGCGCGCCAAACTGGGCAGTCATGTCCTGATATCCCGGATTTCCTGAAGTTACCGGTTGAGCTGATGCAGACCAATGACTTCCCGTCTCTGCGCCCTAAATGGCAAGAATGGCAGCATTTGAGAGCGAAATGAGTAAAGGCTCACTCGTTGTACAGTAAGAAAACCGGGAACAAGGGAGGAAACGGGACGGGATCAAACTGGAGGTGCCATATGTCTGTGCCAACTATTTCGTCATTAGATATGACATTCCTTAATAAATGAATCTAAAAAGCTCGTAAGGAATAGAGAAAGTTCTGAAATCACTCCCAATATCACACAGAGTTTTATACTGGAACTTCTTGACTGAGAGATTTTAAGGAGGAACGAATACAACTCTTTATGCGACGAAGCCCTTTCTTCGCGGGTAGGAGAGGGTTATGCTTTTCATTTGCCCTCAAAAACTTGGCTTCAAAGTTGTGAAAGCAGGTATCATAACAGAAATGTTTCCCCCTGTCACTGCATTGTCAGTGTAAAGGAATAGTTTTCGCGAATTCTTATCTTGAGCCTTTTTAAGTTCGAGTGCGACTAAAACGCAGACGAAGATAGGAAAAGACTTCGCATTCAAAATTCCGCGAATAAAGCGAAGAACAAAGCCGAACATCACCTTGAATTGATCATTAATCGCCCAAATTCTTTATCTCGTCCAAAGTCACTCAGTAGTGCAGTTTTCAATTGAACGTCGAAAAACCGAAACCAAAGTAATCACTATGGCCAATCAAAACAAAGGATGAGATCTCCATTAGCCAATGAGAACTCATAGATAATCAAAGCAAGCCAACAAAAGCGCGGGAAAACGCGGGTGACCAAGACGCGATCTGTATTTGATTGGTTGAGAAGATGACGCAAGTTTTCTGGACCAATCACAGAGCGAGGCAACGCCAAAACAAGGTAGTCCCGGATTTCTTTCGACATTCAAATAAAAATTGCTCTTTACAACGCTAAATTTCGATCAGCAAAAGAACAGAATAAACCCTACTAGCTATTTGGCCTGTCTGGAAATGCAATAGTATTGAGAGGAACTGAAGAAAATCCAACCTTTACTCATGTTGAGCTGGCTTCCTGGCTGTCTGTCTACATATCTATACACAAGAAACTACTACCTCTAATCAAAGCAGCAAAACAATATGGCGTTCTTCCTTAGGTTCTCGATCAACGCAAGTTTATGACAAAACTGCTTTCGCACCAGTTTCACCTCAAAATTTATCTTCCAGTAAAAAAGGGAAACTTCTTTGATCATTAAAAAACGTTTTAATGCACTGGGATCAAATTAAACAAAATATTTTTTTCTTAGAATGTGGTTACAAGTGTAAACAGTTGATATAAATAAACCCAGGTATTAAAACTATCGTCCGAAGATTTTGTTCATTTGGTTTGACCCTTAGTCACGTTTCATTGCTGCCAAATAACCTTACGTAATTTAAAAGATCAGTTTTTACCTTTCTTTTCTGTTCCCATTCATTCGTTACCATTTCAATCTTTGTCAGGTTACCGCTCATGAGCATGTAAAGTTCGTCATCAAATTACAATGCAAGAAACTTATCAAGGCAACTCTTTTATTGACACAATTTTCATTACAGCAATTGTAATTCTTCCTAAAATAATAATAAAAAAAAATTCTTTCCGCTCATTTTGCCGTGTTGCACTCAGCTTTATCAAAACCAATGGATGAACGGTGAGTTACTAGAAAAGAGCTCGCGACGCAGTAAAAAAAAAAAAAATGAAATACAAATATACATAAAACGGAACTGAATTCTCAACGATATTACGATAACTAACTAGTTATTCACCTTTCTAACTTAACTATTTACACTGTCTGTTGTCTAAAACTTAGACGCAACTACAGTTTTTTGAACGAAAGTGAACTGAAATCTCTAGACAAAGGGTATACGTGAGAAGAAGTTGAGAACTGATTAGGAAAACTTACAGCCTGTTGCTGCGCAAATGGGGGTCGACCGCTCGACGGTAATACATACACCGGTGGCGGCATATTGACATACTGCGGCATCACAAGCTGACCAGAATTCACCGCACTCTGCGCCTGTTGTTGTTGCGACTGCTGCTGCTGCTGTTGCGCTATGGCAGAAGGTTGCTGTGCAGCCTGTACAGGAGTGCGGACAGTCGATGGCTGAGTGTAGCCTGAGCTTGAACTTGGTTTCATCATGACTTGCTGATAGGCCGGTTGCATAACCAAAGGATTTCCGTCTGCTCCTAACAAAGGTGTCCCTAGGTACCGAGAGAAAGTTGTGCAAAGTTCAGCAACAAAAAAAACTACTAAGGGGGATTTACTTCGATGTCACAATCTTCCTAAAAACGAAATCGATTCGAAAACTGGCTTCGAAAAGGTAATTCGAGTGTAAAAAAAGTTAATTTAAGATACCTGTATTAGGATTTATAAGCATAACTCCAGGCTGTAAAGGCTCTTGAGGCACTGACCACATCACTCCACCTGACGAAAAAAACAATTGCCAAGTTGTACAACCAGGTAGAACTCCCAAGAAACAAAAGATAGATTGTACTTGGACAAAATTTGTCATTTTGGTTCAAAATTCCTCCAGTTCTTATGAGTTTGTATGAAAGTGTCCTGTGTCAAAATCAGTATTCGTCACGCAGCTGTAATATTGTTTTGTGTGACAGTGACAGAATACTGCTCTGCTGATTTGCAGTTTAGAACCATGACATTTCCCATAATAACATTGCGGCTTCCCACTTAAACGGGCGTGCTACCACAATAAATACATTACCACTCTGCTGTGACGTAGGAGCCGGTGCAGCCATGACAGGCACTGGCATCCCTTGTACTCCTGGAGCTTGCACCGGCAGCATCTGCATCTCCCCAGAGGGTACAACCAAAGGGGTCCCCTCTGCCACCCAGTAAGGTAGTGGAGCTGACAGGACGGACTGTGAGCCAGGTAGATGGCGCTGCCTCTGGTTTCCATCTGATGCCCGGCGAGAAGAATTGGATACACGCTCCAAAGCGGGTGAACCACCGATATGACTTATTCCTGGACTACTACTGGACCTAGTAAATGGCTTGTTCGTCATTATTCTGATGCCTGCAATATACAAAATTTGACGGATTACGACACGTATCAGCACATCTCATTAGTCATATTTTCTTCCTTTTCTTCTTTCTTTATTTCCCTTCCTTTTTCTTTCTAAAAATACTAAAAGGGGATCTTTTAAATAATACGTGTAAACAACAACAACGCAAGAACACAACACCGAGAGCTACACTCTCTACCCTTTGCGAGAAGTGCGTGGATTATTTAACGTCCCCTGCCAAACAATACAAAGAAGAAGCAGGAGACGGGATCTGCAGTGTAAGACCAGAATGTCGAACCATTTACAGATGTCATAGCAAAGCACATTCGCATCACAGCACATTTTAAGACGCAGAGTGTTGGTCCGCTCTGGTGCTTGAACCCTCGACCTCTTACACAGTAGTCCGGCTCTCTACAACATGAGATAACCAAGCGAATTGTGTAAATGTCAGCAAAAAATCCTAATTATCTCACCCGACGTCCCAGTCGAGGACCTGTCTCCTGTCACATCCACTTCCTCTGATTTAGACTTGCCGATTTTACTTATAGGTAGCCTTTCAAGTTTTTCCTCGCCGGCAACATCACTTACATTTTCCATGTCCTCCCTGGGAAAATAGTTGAGCAGTTTCAGTAAACGTGCTTTGCGTAGTGATTGGTCTGCAAACTCACGCCCCCGCCCCTCAACAACCAATTACATGCAAAGCTAACACGAACTTTCAATTGGTCACTTATTTTTCCCGCGCTTCGGACAGATTGTATGTTTTAACTCTGAGTTCTCACTGGCTCTTGATGTAATTTACTTTAGCCTTTGGTTAGACGAAGTTGTTACCTTAGGATTTAATCTCACTCGACACTTAATTGAAAATTTCTTAACTGGAACTATAGAAAAACGCTTTTCCACATTTCTCTTTATAGTCTTACAGCGTATTACTTTTCGCTATTTTTTTTTTAAACCTTGGTCATAGTTCTTTTCTCTATAAAGCCCTACCATCCAGTTACCTTTGCAGAAGTTGAGGGACTATCATATCATTTTCGCCTTTAGAAGACTGTGATGACTGTGATGAGATAGACTACAAAATTGAAAAAAAAAACTGAAATTACTTCTTGAAGTAAACTATCTGTATTCTACGTTGGCGTATATCACAATGGCACAGTGGTGCTGGCACCAAGGGGTCATCCCTAGAAGAAAAAGTACCCCTAGTATTGTTCCTTCCATGAAAGCAACATGTACACTGTTTATAAGCGCATTTCTCCAGTTAAATAAAAGTGGCTGTCCCTTCAAGTTTTCCTCAGATAAAGGTTCCCATTGGAGAGCTACCACAGTATATCAGTTTGGCTTTACGTTGTAAAATACAGATACAAGATGAACTGTACCCCGCCTCTAAATCAAAAACTAATCCTGTCATCGAACCACAGAAACTTACATCTTGATTAAATATCCTTTCCCTGGCTTTGTGGTACTCTTCTTCTCGTTCCTCAATGGATTTAGAACGCTTGTCCTCCATAGAATGTATAAGAACAGGACTATCAATCTACAAATGGAATAAAAACCAATAGAATTTTATATGGAAACACAAACACACCACACAAAAGTATTGGAGAAATTTTCATCAGCAAAATTGCACAGTACCTTTGGAGGGGTGCTTTCGTCTGACGGTGTATTTTGTCTTTTAAGAATTAATCGTGGAATTGAACTCTCTGAGTCCTCTGATTCCTCTCTGGGTATCAGTTCTAAAAATCTGCTTTCAGGTCTGCAAATGAACATGAAAAATAAGTTTGTCCCTTTTTACCTTGGCCCCCCCTTCCCTTTTTTTGTTTTAAGATTAACACTTTAACCCCTAAGAGTGACCAGCATCTAATTTCTCCTTACAACATCACACCTGAATCACGCATAAAGGTCACAAGAAAAAAGGAAATGATCATCAATAATGGACGCTCTCGATTATTAAACAAATTCTCCTTGTCAGCACCTTAGGAAATGTATAGAGAACAGTATGGAGAATATGCATACTGATGTTAGGGTGTAAAGGGTTAAGTCTACATACACAAGACTGAATTGCATAGCGGCCAGTTTTTGAACATGAGGTGAATGAGTAGGGGCAGATCCAGGACCTTTTAATACAGGAATAGGAGGGGAGGGAAGGGAAGGTCCAAACTTTGATTAAAAAAACACAATTTTTTTTTAAACAAAACTAGAGCCTACATAAGCTGAGAAACACTTCCAGACAAGTAAAATTTGTATTCCTCATAGTAAATAGTAACATGCGATCCTGTTGTTAACCCTTTCACTCCCAAGATTTCATAAGTAATCCTCCTTACTGTCTGCCATATAGTTCTTGTGATGTTAGTTTGGAGAATTTGGTGTTTGATCAACTAATAACCCCCTAATTAAGACTTCTCTTTATTCTCATCACTTGTCTGTTTGATATTTTATTTACACTGTAAGGAGAAATTCTGTCTTGGTCACTAATGGGAGTTTAAAGGTTAAAGGAATTTTAGAAATTTTCCTTGTCTGTACTGAAGGAGAAATGTATAGAGAAGAGTGTGGACAATATGCATACTGATGCTCGGATGTAAAAAGATAATAAAACATTACCAATCTAATGCAATCAGGGGCATGCAAGAAATTACACAGTAACAATCTCCCATAGGTGGTTACAAAAATACAAATCTTTCTGCTTAATCTGTCCATAACAGTCACGTTTCCAGCAATATGAAGATTCATACACTGCTTAAAACCCCAAACCCTTTTTTACAGGTAACTGCTAGTGACCCACTTGAAAAAAATATCCCTGCCCTAAATTTGTAAGGTAAGCACGTCCACAAATCAGAGACAGGATAGGTTTATCTGAGTACTTACATTCTTGTGTTCACTGTTTTATTTATTATGACTGATTTTCCTGTTTGTTGATCAACATTGTGATCCATACCAAAGTAAGCGGCAACTCTGTGCACAATCATGCGGTGGTATGATGTCATAGGTGGGTAGTGAAGGAAGAGACTGTTGACCCAAAATGAAGGAATTGTTTGGTAAGTGATGAGTATGTGAATTCTTCTTACCATTAGTACAAATTGCACAGGCTGGTGTAATTTTGTTGTGTTTGAAAAATTTACAAGTGCTTATCACACCAAATTGCGAGGGAAATTTTGTCATTACCTGTTCATAATGTACATGAAAAAACATCACAGAAAGTTAAGACAGACAAAATATTGAAAGCATGTACATGCTATTTGTAATTTGCACTTGTGTTACTACACATGAGAATGCACTCATTTTCAACCAATCAAAAGCACATCACTTTTTTCATGAACATTATCACAATTGTAAGCAGATTGGTAATGAGAATCAATAATTTCATTCATTTGAGGACACCCTTGTCAATTTTTTTTAAATCCTCATCAAACTGAGTATGATAGACAAAAATGACATAACATGGTCACCAGTTGTAAGTATACATGCTTGATACACTAAACACATCTAGACAGCACTAATTGGGTGACACACAAACTAAATTCACTATACTTACGCTGGTTGCTGAATAAAATTAAGGAAGTCTTGTTCAAGTCTCATGAGAAATTTGCGATCCCTGAGAAATGAGAATAAAAATGACTGTCAATAAAATAACATTGTCCCTTTTAGCAGTAATGGCATACTTGTATTTACCCTTAAAACCCTAACATTGACCAGCATCTTATTTCTCCTTACAGTAATACTGCTGAGTCTCTCATTCAGATTATGAGAATAAAGGAAATGATCGCCAATCTAAGAAGCTTTGATTGTTAGACCAGATCTCCTTACCACTACCAAAGAAAATGTATAGAGACAAGTATGGAGAACATGGATACTGATTGATGTTAGGGTGTAAAGGGTTAAGAACAGCCACAGGTTATGAGGAAAGCCACTAGAGTGCTTACCTGGGATTCCTTAGAGTCTTTATAATAAAATCATGCAGGTCAGTTCCCGTGGAATCTGTATATTCAAATGAACCATCTACACAAACAAGATGTAGACAAACATTTATAAGGCCAAAATAAACAGAAAATGAACAAAGTTGGTCAAGGAAGAACAAGATAAAAATAAATCAAGATTGCAAATTGCAAACAAATTGTGGCTTTCTTTTACTGGAGGTAAAGCATAGCTTTTTTTTCAGTTAGGAAGGATTGTGAAAGGAGCAAGCTGGATGTGTTACTAAATTTATCATAGACACAACAACTTGACAACCAGACCACATCAAACAGAGTCAGTGGCCAACCAACCATGGCTAGTCTGCCATCTGTAGCCAGCTACTTTCACCTCCTTTTACCAAATGTGCTAATAAAAAATTGTACAATTTCTGAAAAACATTGAAGAAATTTGTAATTTGCACAAACATCAACCAGTTTTATGTGGAAATTAATACTAAATTAACCAGTACTAGGTTTCACAGTGTGATACAATTCTACAATCAGAATTTGCTCAAAGGTTCATGCAAGTTCATGTATTGCCTGGGGCAATCAAAACACTTCCCATTCTTGCACGTTTCACAGTATCTGACAAAGCAAGTGATAACCAGGCCTCCTCCAGTTTTGCATTTGCCCTTTACTTTTAAACTTAGCAGCAGCCCAGAAAAACATCTTAACCTTTTAACTCCATAAGTGATCAACATGCAATTTCTCCTTCTAATATCTACACAGTATCCAGCAAACAGGTAATACTCAAACTTGTCAGGCAGAAGTTGCTATCTTGATCTCACACCAAATTGTTGTTACTAATTAACAAGGAAATGTGCAGCTGTTACAAGGAAGAATTAACAATCAGATCTTGGGAGTTGAGAGGTTAAATCATTTATACAGTGTATACATGAGAAATTATTACCACATGTGTACTTGCCTCTGGAAAGTGAACTCTGTTTAGAGGCTCTTGCCAAGGCCTCAAGCCGAGGTGGTAACTCTCCTGCTATTCCACTGTCACAGGATTCAATACTGGTATTTTTACTCAACACTGCACCCTAATGGAATGAAATGACACTTTCATTACATGCTGAAGAAGTTACTTGATTGACAACATGACTTCTCCTTATCAATAAAGGGTGGTTTTGTCTCTAAATTGATCTCCCACCAAATCTGAAGTACTAGCAAGTAGTCTGTCCCCAATATTACTTAAATGTGCACGCCAAATGGAAATCGATTTGCCTTGCTTTACAATATTGATTCACCATTGATTTTCACTTTGCTAACTTTTACTCTCAACAACTTAACCCTCCTGTTAACTTAAAACAGTTGCTGTTTCTTTTCAGGACACTCTCTTTTCATAATTTTACACTCATTACCCCAAAATATGTTTATCAGTATGTGACAAATCAAAACAAATGGAAAAAAGATACAGATAGTGCTGTTTCTTTTTGTCTCCTTATCTATCAATTTATTTTTTTTTTTTCAATCTCTGAAAATTTTGGCTCAACTCCTGCTATCACCAACCCCATGTACATGTTACTCAAACCCTCTCCAATTTCCCTTGAAAGTTCAAGTCACGTAAAGCACAAGTTAGATTTGGAATGAAATGCACAATCATATGGCACCCAGTCCCAAGAATTCTTATTAATGGAAACATATGAGCTAACGATGTTCCCATCACACAAAAAAGTCCAAGTTTAGTTACAAAATTTTTTTTCTCAAACATGTACCTCTGTGACCTCATCTGGGTACTGAGAGGGTGGAGGTGAAGGAACACTTGTCACAGCGACACTTCGCACAAGAGTTTTCCTTGATTGATGATAGGTTGGCTGCAAATTGAAAGAGCAAAATCACAATAGCAATTAGTATTCATTGTTAACAACAACCTTCTCCTGTCACTCATGATCAGCCCATTAGAATGGGCCGTTCTTAAGTCATGTAAGTTAAGGAAACCTGAGAGTCCTGTGAAAAAAGTGATCTTGAAAAAAGTTGATTAGCTAATTAGCATCTTATTGCCTACAACTACTTTTTTGGCTACTTTTGTTTGCAACCGTAGGTGCTCAGTTAGCGAGGCAACTTCCTTCCTCTACATCACATGTACACAACTGTACATCATTCCATGTTAAACTAAATAAATCAGCTTTGATAGATGGCAATCAGAGTTCTAAAATTTGCTGAACTACCAGTACACTACTTAGTTTGCTTCAAGCCAGTAAGAGTTAATAAAAAAATCACCAAAGAATAGTACCCCTATTCCAGTAGTTTTAGTCCAAATGATTTCAATCAGAAATCTAGGAAGTCCAAAGGATGACTGGATTAAAGGGTGCTATTTAACCATGTGACACCTAAGAGCAACTAACATCTATTGTAATTTCTCTCCACAATATCAATCAAAGTTATGAAAATAAAGGAAATGATCACCAACTGAAGAAACTCTCCATTGTTAAACAAATTCTCCTTATTAAAAGCAGGGAGAATAAGCATACTGATGTAGGATAAAGGTTGACAGAAGTCAAAGTTACAGTAAAAACAGGAGGTAAATTTTACCTCAGAAGCTGAATGAGTCAATACAGGTATGGATGAACGGATTCCATGAAAACTCTGCTGTACATGAACAGTACTTAGAGAAGGCTTAGGTTGTGTTGCCATGGTAATGGCTTGTGGCTGTTCTGGGGAATCTGCGTTTGTGCTCTGATCACTTGAAACTTCAGCAGTGGTAACAACAGGAGTTTTGGATTTCTGATGAAAAAAAGATAGGGAAAAAAATATTCCTATAAATGTAACATTTTTAAAATGTCATAACTGTAATCATGGCTCTTGTGTTTTTTTGTTCAATTGGTGACAGCAATATCCTCTTCCCCAAGCTCTCATGACTGACTGAGATGGAATTTCAATCCAATATTAAGCAGGCAAATAATGAGAAAATAGAAAATATCAATTAGGGGATTATTAATTGATCCAATTAATACCAGATTCTCAGAACTAACATGATAAAACTTGCTTGGCAGAAAGTAAGGAGAATTACTAAAAGAGATATTGGAAGAGAGAGGGACACATACATGTACAGTGTACTTTAGGAGGGATCTTGCAGAGACACATACCATACTGATAGAGGCAAGTGAGAAATGAGGCCCATGGTTTATATCCATGATCCAAAAAGACTCCTTAACGACTACTCACCAAAGTGAAGGAGGCTAGTGGTGGATATATTTACCCAGTCGCAAACTGTCTGACTAAATATCTCCCACAAGCTACCAACACTGAGTTGAAAAGTTGTTTATACTAAAACAGTGAGATAACATAGCACAGAAGGATGATTTTTAACTCGTTTATTCATGCAATGATTGCAATACTTTTAGGTGCCAATCATGCATGAGTTTGAGAAGCCAATAAAGAACCATTAAAAACAAACACTGCAGTGTACCAGCCTACCTCGGCAGGAGTGTGATTACAGTTTTCTTGGTGGTTTGTCATATCAGGACCATTGTCTGAAGGAAATCTCTCGTCCATTATCTAAAACAACAATGCTGTGAAGAAAAAAATGAAAGAGTAATATTGATTTGCAATGAAACGTAAGATTTACATCAATAAACAAAATACAAAAAAGAATTCTATTTATCGGCATTTATTAGCTCCTTGTCTTAATGAAGGACATTGTATAAGTAATGGATCAACAAAAGGAAGTAAATAAAACAAATTCAAGCCAAAGGAAAAAAAGTTAATAGGAGGGAGACAATACAAGTTGTCTACTGACAAGGGATTTTGGGGGAGTTGAACTTGGCACTATCATGAACAATTTTAAAATTATTGCTTAAACCACTCGGCTGTGTCACTATGACAATTCAACACAAAGGGATCTGAAAATATGCCCAAACTAAATGAAGCTTGAACTTTCACCTGAATAAATTTTCAGATATCTGATGCAACATTGTTTTGTAACTGTATAGCAAATGTATTTTAAACCCTAATATGTCTTGAAGAACTTTGGAAAACTCACTGCATACATTTTGTATTCATAACCAAGAATACAGTAGTGTACTTCAGTGAGTTAGTGCCTGAATGATTACCCAAGTATTGAGTTCACAAATTATAACAGAATACTTTTACCAATATCAATCTTACACTGCATTTACGTTTTACCCTCAACATAGAATCTTTCTCTCTTAACATCTCGCACTTTTACGACACCTCACTAAAGAAATTGTTCGGAGGATCAGCTGAGTTAAACCATTATCAAATATGTGCTTTATTTGCAATGCATTATTCATCATAATCATAAAAATTCAAGGTCTCTTGATGAACATAATACGTCTGACCAATCAGCCACAACAATAATTGATACATTGTCATGTCATATATCAAAATTTGACACAAGTGACCAAGCTTGCATAAACTAGACCTAAAATGGATTCTATAAGAGATAATTTAAGCATTCTCTTCCTGAAATCTGTATTTAGAAGACTGATTGATTGCATAGAGAAACGCACATACTTAATACATACATACATGGCCACCAACAGTCGTTTCAAAGAAGGATTGAACTAACAAACTTGTCAAAAAAAATAATAAGCAATTCAGCTTTGTTACAATTAAGCGTCATACATGTACAATGTCTATTACCATAATTCAAAAATTGTCTACAGCCCAAACATTTAATTTTGGAATCAACAGCTTAAGTTCGAAATTGAATTAAACAAACATTGCATAACTCAATAGATAAGATAACCAGACATTCTACTTTCAGACATACCGGTACTTTCAAATGGCTAATATCATAATATCTGTTAAGGGAGCCTCTAGCAATGTACAAACAAATTATATTACGCATGAAACGGTCAAAACTATGTCAACAGGTTGTGAAGTCAAGCACTGAGGATAATTTTTTAAACACTTATTTCATTCCAACTTTCTGCATTTTTAGGAATAAAAAACAACAAAGGATAAAGTGGAACAACCACTGTACTTGCATGCAAATCAAATTCCTATTTGTAAGTGCAATATACACTGTATTACGCCATTTTGTCACATCAAAGTAACACATGCATGTACTTTGCTCCAATTTATCTGTCACACAATTAACTATCATTCACAGAGGAAGAGACAAAGCCTATTTACTTTGAGCAAAGATCAAATTCTCATGTCTACAAATTTTAAGAGTAGCACACAAATTATTTTGAGAGAGGAATAAATTCTCACAACGCATTTTATACCTCTTTCTGAGAAAAATTTAACAAAAAAAGGATGATCAAAGTACATTGCTTTCTTTTCGTAAACAAATGTTGGAGTTAATTAGATAACTGTGATATGGCATAATTTCAAGTTTTCCTTTGAAATAATGAACATTGAATTTCTTTCATAGTCTGTTCAGTCGTGGAATAAAATGACTTGTCAACAAAATCTGGAGTTTGAAGACTCGCATAGTGCTAATTTACAAGACATAACTGCTGTGAATGTCTCACAGAGTTCTTGCTAACAAATTCTTCATTTACAATTTTTTCAAGTCACCCTTCAAAAAATATTTGCTCTGTTCACAGACATATACACATCACGATATATTTTAAATCACTAACCAAGCAAGTGAATAGCATTACAGAATGAATCATTTCCAGAGAACAACTGTCATTGAGAACAAGCCAACAATAACATTAATTTCTTGCCTTGGAGGCTACAACCATGTGCCAAAACCACAGAATCACGGTTCTGGAGAGCCTTACATGTAAGTTCACCACAGCCTAACTTCACATTCTCTAGCAAGAGCTCCAGGGCTTGTCAATTTCTGGAAACCTAAAACAGCTCTCTTGAAGTTGCATTTAACCATGAATTCTTTGCAGTGAGTAGGTCTAGGCTAAACTTTGGTGAACTAATTTCAAAACAATTTAAATAAATAATGAATGACAAGACCTGCCTCAAATCTAATGGAATATTCTAGACCAGGGTTGGCTTAGCTCAATATTATTGTGGCTAACCAAAATAGAATGTAACCCTCTAACAAAGCAGCATTGTTAATTAAATCTGTGCAAATGGTTGGAGGCAGCCATTATCTTGATGCATTTGGAAGATTCTAGCATTATTGCTGTTATAATAACATCACATACAAGGAGATTTGTATCCTACATGTATATTCTAAGAAGTTGAAAACACATGAACATGTGTATCAACATAGAGCAATGATTGCTCAAAATGAACAAAACTTTTTTCTAGAAAACCAAACAGATATTGACAATTGATCACAAGAAATCTGTACCTATCAGTGAAATATCTATTAAAAAGTAAGGGTTATTGTTCAATTTTGGAATACATAATTCAAAATTTTGACATAGTTACACACCAAGACTTAAAACCAAAATCTTACAATAATAATTATAAATGAAAGTTCTCCTTGCACATCACTAAAAATTCCTCTTTGTGGTCCATGTAGGTGGGAGAATTTAATAGTTTATCAAACAACATTATTTGATTGTGTAGGTGAAGATATCAACTCAAACAGTGTATACACTATAAAATAACTACCAGCATGGCATGAAGGAGATTTAAGAGATTTTCTACGAATTATGGTTACAGAAACAGCACACTAGTGCTGTAAATGTAGTTCTCAAATCCCTTTCCTACCACAAATAATGCTTTGTGAGTTGAAATTATGAGGAAACATGCAGTCCACTCTGTGCGGTGGATAAATTTTGGAGGTGTAAGTGCCTGTTTTTGTCAAAACCCACCTAAAGCTTACTGAATGACTCAAAGCAGTTTGATTTTAAAATTTCTTTTCAGAGAGCCATCCACACAGTGACAGCTAAATGCAAGCACGTGTGATCACGTACATGTAATCATTTGAAACAAGACATGCTTCTCAGTATTCTGAACTAACTGTCCAGACTACGCAATTTCATTTCATGGGGGAATTCCAATATTTAACAGAATTGTCCAAACAAACCCATCAATTTCTGAATATTACCCATTCCTTTGATGGAATTTATCTAAAACATATAATGGTAACCTCTCAAAAAAAAAGCCTATTCACTTGCAAAGTTGATCTGTCTGGTTAGAAAATTCAGACCAATGGAATGTGCCTTAAGGATAAATAACACTTTTGCGGGTGTCCATTGTAAAAAAAAATTTGTAAGGAGCTATTTAAAGCCTAATCTCCATAAACTATATATCATTGGAAAGGTTTTGAATGTGCTACCCAACATTATTTTTTCTAGTTTAAGCTTGATTGCAAATCAACCGAGGCACAATGATATCTCTATGAGTGAATTAATCAGGTACCAAATCTGACTGCACTAATAAAGCTATGGTATACTTTCAGTCATAAGGAAATAATCTTCAAAATTGTGTGGTGATTTCTAGATATTCCAATTGGCTGCTTTGCACTTTCCCTATCAAGTTTGCCGATCACGATTTCACTGCTAAGCTTTACATCAGATGCAGGAGATCAAACACAAAGAATCAAAATTCCTTCAAACAGTTTTTTGTTACTGTGGGAGTATGTGGGCCAAATTTCTAGGTGATCCATTACTTTTTCGTATCCTAATAAATCGTTCAAAGAAGACGCATGTGATCTTTCAGCCTGAGCTCAAATATTTTTTTCAAACATTTCACACCTTTTAAATGAAATTATTTTGAAATAATTTTTTTTAAAAATTGGCCTATGAAAGTCTACTGTATCCTTAAGTTAAATATTAAGAGTACAGTGTCTTCATAGTATCAGGCAAGTCAAGAATTTGAAGAAAATGACAATACTTTTAAGTTTGCAAAACATGTTTTGACAGAAACTTCTGTCATCTTCAGTATAAAATTCAACTTCCAATGCTTTGTACATGAATTAACTGAAGATGACAGAAGTTTCTGTCAAAACATGTTTTGCAAACTTAAAAGTATTGTCATTTTCTTCAAATTCTTGACTTGCCTGATACTATCAAGACACTGTACTCTTCCAATGCTTTTTACATGAATTAACTGAAGATGACAGAAGTTTCTGTCAAAACATGTTTTACAAACTTAAAGGTTTTGTTGTTTCCTTCAAGAGTACAGTACATGTAGCATACATATTTTTATTAGTAGGTAATAGAATTAGCAGAATTTGCTAGCACTCTGAGCACTCCTTCAGTGATGCCATAAGGTGAGTTTCAGTAGGTCAAAGACAAATGATTTTTATTCAGCTCATATTTGTCAATTCTTCAATTCAATTTTGCAAACATGTCTCCAAATGCTAACCCTGGAAAATTACAAGTATTTATTTCTCCTTCACCCAAAGGACAAGGCTTTTTGTTGTTTTACCATTAATGGCTCTGAGAAAAGAGAACTCACTCACAGCTGGCATCATAAAAATCATGTTCCTGTTTGAGTTCTGTGAAAAATAACTCCTTGCACTCTCTGAGCCCAGACAATAATGGGAAATGTCATCTGTGCCCCACTACCTAATTCTGTTATCAAGGATGAACTCTGTTACGTAACAACAACTGTGTTACAACATCACAAATTCAAACAGATCAGTTGCTAATTGGTGTAATACTACCACAGACACAATAACCTTTTCAATATTTCAAATTTTCCATTCAAAATCATGAAGAATTAGTAACAAGATTCTTATTCACAAAACAGACATGCATTCTCCATAAGAAATATCACATAAATTAATTAAATATTTTGAATGTAATTATGACATGGTTTCGTTTAGTATTCACCATGCTGACATAACAAAGGGATGAAAGCTGATAATGGCTTTCTGGTAATGCAAATAATTTGTATTTGCCTTTTTTTTTCACAATATCACACTTTGACACTGACAGATATGAGCAAAACTATTCAAATTCAACCTAGCCACATTTACAAATTTAAATTGCACCCCTGAAAGCATCACAGCTTCAACAGAAAGGTGACAAAAATAAATCAATGTTTCTTTGAACCATGACATGAACTGACAAGTATTTTTTAAAAAAATCAAATGATTAATTCCACATAATATGGAAGAATTTTCAAAATATCTTGTTGAGCTCATCTCAGGGTATTCAAAGAGGATTAGATGTTAGTTGCTATTATATGGTATGCAATAAAGAATCAAAAAATGCTAATATCATTAAATATTGAATAAGGGGCAATCCAAGGTAAAGGTTATTTTCCATTCAAATTGTCACAAATGACAACAGCAGAAAGATCAGAGATTTAAATTTGACAAGGAAGCAGACAGATTGTTGTATGCTTTACAATATTCCAGGTTTACTCTGTACAGTGATTGTATAAAAAGTTCATAACTTGTAGTGCATTTGCTAGGTAGTATATAAACAAAAGTGTGCAAATGGATTTAAGGAAGGATGTTTAGCAGCATTACAAAATTTGAATAAATTAACACACACACTTGCTAATCAACTTGAACAACAGTTGATGTGTTCTCCACATTTTTGTTGCTGTGAAGAAGGTTCAAATTGTGTCTAGGAAGAGCGATGCTTGAAAACTGATAATTAACAATTATTTTAACTTGGGTATAATATGCCAGTCCAGACGACTGTAACATTTCACTTGCAACAAGGAATTCATTTATTACCTCGAACTGAAATTCTATGAGGCACAGTTAAATCCATCCTAGACAGTCAACTTTCTCGCTAACTTTGGAACTAAACTTCACACAGATCCAGAAACATATCAAAGATGAACACAGAAGCCTCAGTTGAGACAATTATTATTGGTCAGACATGAAAAAAAAACAACAGTTTAAATTTCCTCGCGAAATTAATCCGTTCCACAATGTCGTATCAAAGTCCTTTCGAAAAACCACGGACAGCTTTTTCAACCGGCTGAGATTATGAACAGATCAAAGACCACAAGGAGATAAATTCATTTCCATTTTACCAGGATTATACCGAATCAAAGTAAGGTACACTTATATAAGCTTACATCATAAGTTAAAATGCCACTGCTTACATTTGTGCTACCTATTGTTTGCAGTTGCTCGCCCTTTAACAAATTTAATCCATAGCAAATAAGAGTGTTTCTGCAGCTCTAAATCTTACCTCAAAAAGAAGCCAGCTTATGTCCATTTTCAATCATCGTGAGGTGAAGACTTGCCAACCATAGATCATAACGTTTGGAAAAATCTTGTGTTGTGAAATCGTAACTAACTTTTGCCCAAATTTGCAGAATCAGCCCCGGCGTATTTACGGCCTTAATTCTGAAACGGGAAGTAAAATCAAACGGAGTGAGAAGATTTGACGACACCAAATTACACAAAAAGCCAGCAAAGTATACCATGCAACAAAAATAACTCTTAAAATTTGCAAAACGGTACAAAAAACCTGCGCATTTTCGATTTTTTTACGACCAGGGAAGCACCTTTGTCAAGTAAGTTATTTTTCCTAAATAAAAACAAGTTGTTCTTCCTTAAATTCCCACTAAAAAATGTCCCTCGAGGGATATCCTTAACACTATAATATTGCCTCCATTATTTCGAAAGAAAATAATTACAATGAAATTGGGAAAAAACAGAAGCGTAAACCATCCGCCGATGGAAAAATTTCGCTTGAAATCGACAACTTCTAAAAGCTTAATTAATAATTCACTCCACTCGACTACACTCCCTCCAAACATCTACCTAAACAAGATAAACCCCAAAAAATTCTACATAAGTTGAACAACGCCCTTTGTGAGAAAAAGCCACCTTCAAAACTCACAAAAGGCTACCTCAATGTGACGCAAACCTCTTTATAATCAACGAGAGTTTGCAGATGAAATCGACAACAGATTTCCCGACACGGTGAGGGGAAAGTTTTAGCTCGTCCACGCCGATATTTTCGTAACACATTTCTGAGCGTGGGCGAGCTTAATTTAACTCCAACTAACAAATCCCGGGAGTCTCACTCGCCGGTCACTTCAGCTCACCTGAAGACTCGCTAGACATGTTTCTCTTTTCAACCGTATCAGCGATGGTAGGACAAGCAGCCGAATAAATGCACTAAAACTGCAGCAGGTTTTCAAAACTGTCGACAATTACAAGGCGAAGAACGGCCGCGGCTTTTAGACACAAAATTGCCACCGGAACCCGAAATGGGAAGCAACGTCTCCCGTTAGTTACAAAAAGGAGACCTCCTTAATTCGGTTGCTAAAGCAGATAATTTTCTCCTAAAAACAGTCGAATTGTCATAGCTTGAACACAGAGAGAATGTAACACCGGCCACACGAGCATCATCAATCGCTCGCCTCGAGACTTCTGGGTAACTGACGTCACAGGAAAAGAAGAAATTGCCGGAAGTAAAAGTCCTTTTATAGAGGACTTCCGCTCAGTGCCGAAGGCAAATATAAATTCTTCTTTTTTTTTTAAGCTAGTGGAACATCTCTACATTGGCAATTGAAAACGTGACTTACTTTTCGATTAGTTGAAGTTTCTAGATACATGGATTCCCCGGCGACATATTTCATGCAACACGGAATGTATTCATAGAAATGAGATCCGAAGGCCAATAAATTCAGATTAGTCTTAATCTAAAAATTTTGAAGATATATTTAATTTTTTTGCATTTATTTCTCCAAACTCTGTCACACATAAAATATCGATTTCCCACGGGGGTTACAAAACTCTAGTAATGTTATTAAGATATGGTGATGACTTATTTGTAGAGAAAATAATGAAAATTGGACGCTAAGACTTGTCAATGTAGAAGAAAGAGCTATAAACGTAACTCGCTTAAACATGTAACTGGTATATACAACGGATGTCAAATTCGTTACCTAGGTTCGATCCTGTCGTCGCTGAGTTGAATTAATCCAGAGGTAAAACATTCGAATTATCTGCTGTAAACCGTTACAATTTTTAACAGCATAATAACATTGGAGGGTAAAATTTTTTTTTCTTCTACCCAACTGACTTAATGTTTACAGTTTATCATCTGCATATTTAAAACTAACAAGAAGCTATGAATACACATACGGTAAATGTGTCAGATAGTTTGGCAAGCCACCACGCCCGAGTAGGAATAAAATCAAATCTTACAACATGTCAAATTTACTTCTATCATTTGAATCCACCGATTGAACTGAAATTTACCCACCTTCTTTGAGTGATTTTAAGCGCTGTAAGCCGGCTGACGCATAAAAACGAAAGATTAAGGCGATCGGCTTGAAAAAAAAATTCAAATGCGTATATTCGCGTTACCCCTTCCGAATCAAAGCGTGAAATGAATCGTTCGAGAGATGTGAGTCCACTAAAACTTAGAAAAAACTTTTTGACGTCATCGTTTCTAAACAAAACGCAAATGAACGCCTACGAGCGGAAGAAATGCATACGTCTTCTCGGGAACCAAAAAAACTCAAATTAATTGGACTCGTAAATTATATTCAACGAACAGAAGTCGAACCGTTGGAGTCTTTGTACTCCTCGCAAGATAAGTCTCCCCTCTGACGTCACGCTGACGTCATTTGAAGTCTGTGTGTATAAATACACAATAAGACTGTCTAAAACGAGATGATAGAAAAAACATTGTTTTTGTCAAGAAAGTGCATGCAAATTTATAAAAAAATACTTCTAATAAATAATATCTTTTCCCTCTAGGGGTTGCGCTTTTTTCCATGTTTTTTAGCAAACAATCGCGGCCGCGCAAGGGCAGACTTTACCCCAGCGAATATCCAGTTTTCTCTCGTGTCATTTTGTGAAACAAAATACTTTTCGAGATGAGGCGGTTGATTGATCGCAAACGACATTTGAAAGAAATCAATCGGTAGGCGATCATAAATTATTCAATAAGGTGTGATATTTCTGCATAATTTGCGGGGAGAAAATCCATTTTAAATCCTACACGAAGAATAGCTCGTTGTGTTTCTATTTTGGCCCTGGTTGGCAGTGCGTGGGTGGAATAATTTGGAGCACTGACTGAAGTGTGACCTGCAATCTCGTTTTTCCGGGAATTTCGAACGCTGGTAAGCGCTTCAACACGGTATAGTTAATTTTTTGGCGTTTCAGCGTGATCCACGAATTTGAGGCAGGTGGAAAAAAGTGCTATAGATTGCAAAAAGATGAAACCGCATACACCTTTTCAACTTAAAAGCAACAAAATGTATTTTCTAAGCTTGCAAATTCAAAATTTTGGGATGGCATCAGTGTTTTCTTGATTCTTCGGCTTCGTGGATACAAATCTATCTTTAAAAGTTGAAAAACTGTTTGCAGTATAATGTGTTTTCGGCAAAACAAGAGAAAAATGTTTGCAAAGAAAATTAATGTTGGCACTTAGCATATTCACTGATGTATTCTTTGCCTGACAGAATAGGAGATGGGATCTCGAATCTCTCGTCTCAAATCTAATGGAAATTTCGCGTAATACAAACATCGGCCGCCCAAACTCCTCATGCAATTCCTTTTTCTCTGGTGTCAAAACTAACAAAATATTATGACAAATAAAAGTTCACTTTTCAAGCACCGACACAATTCATTTTTACAGCTATGCAAAACAGAGTGCAATTTTAGCTCGTCAACTGAAATGCCGGGGGCCAGAGAGGTGCAAGCATATTTAAGAAGACATTTATCTTCTGACCAGACATTTCTGAATTTCATTGCAGTCGGTTAAGAAAAGACTTAGAGCAAAAGTGTCACTTTTTTAGCACGAAATCTGTGAGATCGTTGGTTTAATTTTCATTTCTATTCGTTGTCTACTGAGGTTTTTTTTTATTCTGAGTGATATTTGCAATTTGCATCTAAAGCCGGATTTTCGCTTAACATGCATCTTGAGGTTTTTGTTTATCTCTCTCTTTTGCTCCATTACGCAACGTACCCTATAAACTCGTAAGCGATCGGTAACCTCGCTAAATATTGCAGAATGTCTGTTGTGGTTAGAAATTCACATGACATTGATTTTGAAGAAAAAAAAATTATTTTCTCGCCATTTTTTTCCCTTTTTTTTGATTCAAAATACCTCCTGACAAATATGCTACAGCTTACTGACGTATTTCACACCAAGCTAATTTGTTTGTGGTCACTTTTGAATTGAAGAAAAAAATCATGGCCAGAAAAAGCTGAAACGGAACGAGCTCAGCCTTTCCACTCTTTTACGCATTTCTTTCCACCAAAAATGAAATACATATCCGTTCGTTTTTGCAAATGTGTCTCCAATCTTTCTCCATTGTCTTCCCAAATGTTATTGACAGTGTTGTTATCCAACAAGGGAAGTAAAATTAACTCTGGGTCTTTTTGGCTCGTTTGAAAAGATAATAATGCTAAGTATTACTTTCCTCTGTGCTCTGCTGTTGCAAAACTTCACCACCATTTCCTTATCGCGCGTTAATGTGTTCACAGTTAGTTTTAATTTTGAAATATGTGAGATTTCTGAAATGCAATTGCCAAACCCAACTGTCTTCAAGTTTATGAGTTAAGCTCTAAGAAACATCTATGAGAAGAAGGTCTATCGACAAGTATTGAGTTGGTGTCTTTGATGGCCATAGTTAGACATTGTTCAATCTGATTATTGTTCTGTATGCACTTTGTAGTATGAAATTAATTGAAACTTTTGCGGCTCTAAGCCGGCACTAGTTTATACAAGGACACGAGCTATTAGCCTGTTCTCGTTATGAAGCTGTTGCAGTCGCGTTCTGCAAACCAAACCTCGGGGTTTTGTTGCAATCTTCATGGAAACTTACGATTAACTCTCAGAATCAGGCTCTGACAAAGAAAACTGGTCAGTTTTCGATATGGCTAGAACACGCTTTATTTCATCTGGGTTTTTGAGACTCGCAACGAAAGTCTTCGTATGATATATTCGCTAAAGGGAGGAATTCTGCTTAGGAGTATTACAGTTTGCCTTGAGGTTTGTCTTCAACACAACGTAAGTCCTTCTTTAATTGACTCCGGCGCAACTGGCGGAGACTTGTTATCATTTTCGTCTTCGAGTTCGAAGGATAACGAATAAAACATCCCTTTGTCTTTGTTAGAATTGTAGCTTTCGCGAGAGTTTTTAGGAGACAAGGAACAACACTTCATACCTACCTTTAGGTGTTGAATAACAGAAGAAGCAGGGTTTCATAGAAGTTCTATACGCGTAAAGCGTGTCAATGGAATAAAGCGAGATGAAGTTTTTTTCAGGGTGTCATCGGCCTCAGGTCTTCTCCATAAGCTAAAGCAGATATGTAAGATTGAGCCATACCTGGTTGTGTGAATACGTAACAAGAGAAGATGACTTGCTAACAGACGCTCAAAGCATTTGGCTAACGTCACGAGAGCCCGGTCTGCTTTGTTAATGGCGGATGCAAGTGCGAACCTCTCGGCTCTAAGATTGCCTGTTTTTTCTCGGCATGTACGGAGCTTTTTCGTCTAACGATTTAATTTTAATTCACCAAAACCTACCCTCCAAATAAACCTGATTTCGTTTTTATGAACCTTAAAGAAAACTGACAAATTCAAGATGCTCAAACAAAGAGGTTTTAGCATGGTCCGACAGTGCCAATCGGTGAAAAACAAAATGGCGGCTTCTAACTTCATCAAAGGTTTCATGTCAGTTTAAATATAAACCCATTTTTAAAGCTAAAGGAGCTTGCTTCCACAACTGTTCAAAATATTTTCTTTAAGTTTACACTAAGATCAATTGAAATTTGTCGCTCTACAGTTTCTGCTACAACACGGAAGATTTGTAAGGCTGTAACAGGTCCTACTACGTCTGGTTGTATTCTTCAGTCGCCATGATGATATCTTCAATATGGTTTTACACCAGCAAAGCATTCCTTTGTAAAATTTTTCGCTTCTTATGACAGCTGTTTGTTCATCTTAATATGAAAAGTAATACACAGCATTTAAAAAATATTTCTTAAACCTACGATTATCGTAAGACAAATTGCTGTGTTATTTCATGTCAGTACGAAAGGGGAGTCCTACCGTCACAGATGTCGTTAGAAATCGCTTAACTATGAACGGTAAAACCAGAAAGTACAAGCAAAAAAGTTTTACATTTTCTAATCTAGTTTTATTTCAGGTCTATTATGACATAAATTTACATACTAAGATAAAAGCAGACAGGTATCTTCTACGAAATTTAGCCAAAGACAAAGTTCCATCTTCATATCCTTTGCTTCCGGTCTTCCATGGGAATAAAAAATTGTCTAACTTTCCTAAGCTTCATATAAAGGTTCATTTTTGATCTATGTACTTGAAATATCTTAACAAGTGTCAGCAGATAAACAAGTTATTTTATTGTAGATCATTTTATTTAGTTG